ATAATAAAACTGCTCTGAGTATGAGCACTATTGGGGTTGTCACCAAGACCTCCTGCCTGTCATCCTATGAGCTGTTTGAGCACACTTACATCCATGTAGCACATAAACAAGGACACAATCTCTCACCCACACAATGAACTGCCACATCTTCACGACATGACAGGCTCTATTGTCAGCACCAGGGTCGCATCAGCTTTATAATAAAGGACATCCCAGGTGATGTCCTGCAAAGCGGGCATACACACTCGCAGGAAAGACACACCGAGGAGACACACACATGCACAGCAGCAGTTGTCACCTCTGGGCCAGTGGTAATTATACTCCAGTCACACTAATTGTCTGTCTTCCTCCCTCTTTCACACATTTTTGTGCACTTACACTAGCACGTGTACTGTATAAACACGCACTTGTTCGCATACACATACATGCGGAGGGTAATACGAAATACATTTGCAGAAGTCTCCCAAAATAACCGCCGCACAGCGAGCTGTGGCAGTGCCCTCAACCCTTCTTGGAGAAGGGACTTCACGTCAAACATCATTTCACCCCAAGGCCTCAGACTCACATTGTTCACACTGCCATTAACAGCAGGAAAAGGATGAAACAGGGTTGCATTTGGGACAGCTGTTTATGATGTGCCGCTAGGAGGAAGAAGAGGAGAGGACTTTGTTTTGATGCATTTCTTGCACGCATGGCTAATAGAAGTGGAGGCGGGTGGGGGATTAGTTTATTCAGTTTCTTTGTCTGAGATCAAAATTGTGGGTTATGTGACCCACACAGAGACACAGGGAAGAGAGGAGGGCTCCTGCTGGAGGACCAAAAACTAATTGGACATAAACAAAGGCAGCTCTCAGAGCCTTGCCTTCCCTTGCCCAGACTCCCCTTTTCATCTCTCCCTCCCTCTTATACACACTCCCGTTGACAGATGGCAAATCAGTGTGTGTGTTCCACCTTTTTCTCTTTTAGACTGAGGCATGCTGAGTAAGGTCGCTCAGTCACTTTCCTCCCCCTTGTCATCCCTTTTCCTCTCCCCCTTCCTCTCCCACATCTTCCTTCTGTCTCTCCCTCTGATCCGAGCCATATTTAGCGTGTCACAAGCACTGACGATAGAGAAATTCATGTTTGTATCTGATCCACTATCAGAGCAGAGCGTATTGTCGCTGACCTAAGCTAATAGGCCAGTTTTGGGCTAGACTGAGTCACAGCCAGACAAGCACAATATGGCTCTGCTGTGCGGGTGACTATTTATTAAATGTGGCACTTCATATGATACGCTTGTCTGATCCTGGATCCAAAGTCAGCTACAATGGCTACAGGCAATTAACAAGGGAGAATCAGCAAGATCTACATTTGCAATTCATCACTGCATTTAACACCCACATAAATAACTAATATGTGCTTCTGTCTAATGACTAAGTCGCCCCTAGGGATGAGGAGAAGGGACCAGAGACAACTCTAATCGATAAGGGATTTAGTCAAATCTGAGTCAGTCATTGATAAGAGGATTGGGACCATAACAACTCAGACAGTGAGCGAAATCCAGTAATAACTGCTAAGATGATTGCGTGTTGAGAAATACATATGCACAAGAACAAACGGCTTCTGTTACCAAGACTGCAACAATTTATTTCACAGTGAGCTTTTTCACATGAATTGCTGCCTACTCACAAAGCTTAATGCTTCCAGAACAAAAGCTGACTCTATCTGCATGTGTGTGCGTGCGGGTGTGTGCGTGGTTAAGTAAAAGCAAGGACAGATGCACTTGCTGTTTGCCAAAGCTGTGTTTTGGAGCACTCTAACTTCAGGTCAGCCTTGAGTTTGGGGGGGAAAAAACTCTCTTCGAGACCAAGCAGCCGACAGTTCAGAGCGAGGAAGAAAAGAAAAACACACTTTGAGCAAACAGTGGGTAGATTTTCATCCAGAAATGCTTCTCTTGCCTAGAAAGTTCAGATCTTTATGAAAAAATAAGACTCTCCTGCCTGGGCCCATGTTTTCCTCAGCATACTACTATGCAACTCCTACAGGATTCACATTTAAGACGGAGATCAGTGCACAAATCATCCTCTCTGCAGGCAGAATCATACACAGCATGATGAAATACACACCTTGACCACTTATCACTCCACTCATAATCCTCCAGCACTTAGCATATTTCCTCATGGTGGTGTATTAACACATTTCATCTTAGGTTCAGTCCCATTACTGCGAGGATTATCTGATGCTTCGTACAGCCTGTCATCATGTTGGCCTATGAATGTTCTGCCACACGTAGCTATCATGCAGACTGTGGTCATTACTATAATTTAGAGCCACTTGGACAAGATTATTGACATTCATTACAGACGGAAGATAAAGCCAGCAGAAGAGGCCCGTGTATTCGAGGTGAACTTACTTTCGGCGCAAGGTGGAACTGGTGTTGGTGTCTGTGCTGTCAGTGCGTTCAAGCCGGTCTGTGGTGGAGGAGCCGCAGGAGAGACCTCGCGTCAGCCTGGTGTGGGTCCTCCTCTCCCTGCCGGGCGCTGGAGTTGTAGCTGATCCGGATATCACCTGAGTTGTTGAGGTGCTACCATTCCCACTGCCACCAGCACCGCTGCCACCAGCACCGCTGCCATGATGGATGGGCAGGGACAGGGGCTGGTTGTGGTTGTAGTTTTGCTCGGGGGTGTCCGTTCCAGGGGTACGCGGGCTGCGTTCCTGCCTCAGGTCCTGGTTCTCTTGGCTGACCCGGTCTAGCTGGCCCTCCAGTTCCTCGATGCGCCTGCGCTGCGTCTCCAGGAGCTTGGCCTGGCTCTCAATGATGTTGTTGAGCTCCAGGAGGTACTCCACTGCCCGGTTTGGGCTCTCTGGGCTGGTATCCATGGTGGGAGCCCTTCCTCTCAGGGTACGACCACCACCAGCCACAGGTTCTACCCCGTGGGGCTGAGATCCACCCTCCCCACCAGCCCTGATGAGTTGGGGGGAGGGAGGGACCAAGAGAGGCTGTGGTGAAGATTAACTATAGGCTTCAGATGTTCAGAAACAGGAACTCACAGATATTAAGATATTGAGAATGTCATAGCGACTACATATCCCCAAACATGAGGGCAAAATTTACCATTATAACATCTTAGTAGCCATTGAAAACGTCACAAAGCCAAGAAGAGAATTTAAAGCTAAAAAAAAAGTTCATGGCACTGTTGAGTGTCCGAGTTCGTGAAGTCCCAGGCATTTTGAAATCGACACGTAGCAGGTAAAGAGTTTGGGGTGTCATGATTAATGTTAATTTACTAAATAAAATGTTTAAAAACAGACTTCCAGGCGGAGAGAGTGACACACATAAGTCTGGTGTAATTTAAGCTTTTCAGAGTTGGATAATGAACTTGCTTCGATGATTGATAGAGAAAAAGAATAAGTAGAATATGAATTTATCCACTGACCTGTGACATACACTGCTCGTTAACTTTAAAAGCTCTGGCACCAGCTTTTGGTTAATTTAAAAAACAACAACAACACTTTATGTTTTCATCGATATACAGGGGGAAAGGGGGTGGGGGAGAGGGGGGATACGCTAGTTTTGATCTACCACTAATTATCAGGCGCTGTCAATCATTATATAACACAGAAAAATCTGCTCCTTCCCACGTTGAATATCCCCGCAGTCTGTCATCGTCGCTTTCAACCCATGATTTGATGTGTCTTTAAAGCACAGAGAGTGAGTAGAGGTGGTTTATGAAGTTCATTCTTGAAGTCCGAATCCTCCTCTTTGGTTCGCCAAAACTACATCCCGTTATTAAAAGACGAAACAAAACAAAAAACACAACAAAACAAAAAATCAAACTAGATCCCAGTATCTGTCTCGCCTTTTCATCCAAGAAAAATGCACTTTACCTCCTCGTCATGCACTCATAAATACTGATCTTCAAGATAAAACTTGTCACCTCTTAAAGGCTAAAACCTAACCGCAAGATTCTGAGGTCCTAAAGTCTTAATGACTGTTTCTAATCTTAAAACTGTACTTTTGTTTTTGCCGCTGGCGTAAAAAAAATCTGAAATTGGTCGAAAAGAACAGGGAGCGTCCTTTCCTACTTATCTGACTCTCAGTGGCAGCAGGTCGGTAATCCATGCAGGAGAGTAGCGCTGAATCTCCTGTGAGGTGGCGCAGAAACAGAGAGGATTTCGCTCCTTGAGCGTCTGAACCGCAGCGTTGCGTGCGCCTTTTCCTCTGGAGCGCATCACAGACAAGCGGGCGAAAATAAGGAAGTAACTTCCGGGCAAGGTTTTCAAAATAAAGGACGAACTGTCGAGAATGAAGTACTGACTTGGGGTGAAAGTCAGTTGATTTGTGGGCAAAAACAAACACGAATTATTAAAAAAGGCGCAAATTAATAAATTAAGGTGCCCTGAGTGTATAAGCTACAGAGCGCTGATTTTCATACAAGATCACAACAAACAAATGCCACAGTCGGTGCAATGGCTAAATATTTCCACAACTTCCACAACTAATGAGCACTGATTAAAAATATATTAAAGGTTGAGCTACCAAACAGTGTAAACTGAAAGTTTATCTTTTGCTTAAAAAATATAAAAGAAAAATTAACGCATCACACAGTCAGTTAAACTTGATGGATTTCAAACTGTCCACTTATGAAGTATATTATGGATCCATTATGGATATATTTCACCTGCCGTAATGGAAATGAAAGTGCCAAAGGTGCACTGCTGAGGCCAAACCCCCAAAAAACGAAAAGATTTTGCGGTGGTCACAGCACATTCCTCTGTCTTCGTCCCTCCTGACGGATTTGACTGTGAATGTGAAAATCTCCTATATGTAAATGGAGTCAACAAAACATCCACAAAAACACATTAAAACTGTTTATTGTGTCTTCTAAGAAAACAAAGACAATATTTTAGGTATAAATGAGACAAAACAAAGTTGCACAAAATACATACAAAATAAATATAGAAATATATAAATACAGAAAAAAAAATACAAAAAAATACTTTAAATTACTGGACAAGACTGATTTCAGCTATCACTCTTAGGAGAGCTTAAGTTAAGTCTCAAGACTGTGGAAGAGATAATCAGGAATTCTCTGATTCTATAAGGAGAGCTGGACGTAGAAGGACTTCAACGCAGCAGAAGGACCAGTATCTGCTCCTTTGGTTGAGGAAAATGAGGAGGAGCACTGCCGGTGGCCTATAAAATGACATCCGTGTTTGTTTCCGATCAAACTGTAAAAAGCAATTTTACGAGGGTGACATGAGAATCTGACATCCTTCACACAGACCAGCACCATGTTATACTGTAATGATTGAGCGCTGCTTTCAAATTTCTATTATGCACATGCCTTCAAAAAGGTTTTCTTTCTTTGCAGTTGATAGAGAAAGACATTTTCTTTGGGTCGGTTAATAGTTTTCTGCAGGAATCTGAATGACTAGTCTAGCTGGTAAATAATACGTCTGTCATTCTTGGTCATTATTTCACAGTCTTCTGAGACAAACGCGCGCAACTTAAGAGCTAATTAATTACCTCTAAACCAGGATATTTCACCATATTAACGACCCATTTCATCCAAAAGTGACACCTTTATTCATACCTCCACACTGTGCAGCACAAAGAAAACGGCATTCAATTTTTTCCTCAGATCTCACAGGTCCTATTACATTTGTCAGATAGTGAATTTAGGAATGCAGCTTTCAACAAAGGAGCGCAAAGAAGACATTTTATATTGAAAATACTGCGAGAATCTCATTTTCTGTCTTTGTAGCTTTACGCATTCCAGGAACCCTGTTGAGCGCCTGAATCCGTGGTGTTCAGGTACGAAAACAATACAGTGCACTGCAACACATTGCAGGTGAAACATTGCCCCTGTCGTGTCAAATAACTCCCTGTTATAACATTGAAATGGCTATATTTGAAGTCGTGATTTAATCCACTTCTATAAGACAATCTCCTGCAGCTGAAGTGAAAGCAGCGCTGTTATTACTGTCGTTTTTTTCCTTTTCTTTTTTCCATTTTGCATCTGAGCTGATTTGAACAGAAGGATGCGGCTTAGGACAACACGAGAGAAAGACAGGCCTCAGAGCGCTGTTATTTTTAGTGTCAGTGCTTAAGTGCTCATATCTACGCTAAGACTCTGTAAATTCACCCGCTTCTCTCCCTGCACAGCAGCTTGGACAGGTGAGGTTGCCTCACTGTACAGTTAATACTCCACTGAGGAGTGAGGCTGTATGCAAAATGCATGCTCTAGCAAGGCTAGATGAATGATTGATCTGCTGGAAATGCTGAGATTTCAGCCTCTTCGTGGCTCTCATTCACCACTAGTTAAAGAGCTTACATCTGATTTATTAACAGACATCTCACCCACATATTGCATCTGAGTATCAGGCTGCATTTCCCCTTCTCTCTCATTCACACACACACCTTCATCTTGTGAAATCCCACTTCACATAAATATACTGCTGTCTATGTTTTTGCTGCCATCTGCTGTCCATTATGTGGACCGAGGAAAGGAACACCATCATGACCACAGAGGAAATTGGTTCAGCAGTTTATTTGCACTTTTATTAGTGTGTTTACAGTTCAGCCATACTTAGGAAATGAAAAAAAAAAAAAAAAAAGAATATTGGCAAACATTTATATATATATATAAAAAGGTCTTATATATAGGCTACCTAGCAACACTGTATGGCCGTTGGATGGAGAATACAGTATGTCCGTTTGGCTGCTGTAATGTCTTTCTGCAAACAGACAGGGAACACCACGCTTTTTATTTCTCTGCTTTGTTCCTCTGGGTACAAATGGAGGAATGACGTCACTTATGGCATCAACCTTTAAATGATTATGGAGTGCTAACAAATAACAGCTGTAACAGTCTGTGTCTCCAAATGCCACCGTAGAGAACCAACGTAATATTGCTTTAACATTTAAATAACATTAATCCATTGTGTGTGTTTACGAAAATGGCGTGAAGTGACTGTAGCTTTTCCTCCTAATGGCTTATCAAGAAAACCTGAGTATATCAAAAAAGATAATTTCATAGAAAAATAACATCTCACAGTATCCATTCAACTTGGCTTCTGTTTTTTCCCCTTCAACAGAATATTTAAAAAAAAGAAAGAGAGCAAAAGAAAACGATGTGCTAATTTGTCACCTCAGATGCAACACCGAGCTCAGATTCTGCAGATTTTTTTTTTTTTTAATATATTTTTGTGGGGCCTTTTTTTGGCATGACTTAAATTACTAAACAGCCCACACACTTCTAGTATGAGAGACCTCAGAGCAAAGGTTTTCACAGTAAGAAAAATCAGTGGTTAGGATAAAGTGGTTTATGTTACCAAGGCAACTGTACGTGGCACGATGGGCACAGCACTCTTTAGAATCTAGATAGTGGTTTTGTACTGACCCCACATACACAATATTTAACAGTACTTGAAATATGCACGCACCTGATGCATATTTTGGCATCTTTTGCTGACTTCTGAAGTAGGGTACGACACAGAGCATTCTAATCCACACCCAAGCAGCATAATACAAAACATTCATGTATAAATAGGACGGCTACAATATAGTTCTTAGTCTGTTTACATTTTTAGCCTTCACAAAAGCTAGTTCTCACATTATTTGTCATCACACAATAATAAATAATATGAATAGTTAGCTGTTGTTTGTAATATCTAGATATATACTGCATATATTCAAATGTTTAGACATATTATAATATATATATATATATATATTTCAATATAAATCCAGTTCCATTTAGTATAGTATTTACAGTGCTTTCTGTTGTCTACAGATATTTACAGAATATACCGTTGGCTTTTAAAAGGGATTTGCATTATCACAATCAAATATAGAACAAGATTACAAGTTGAGGCAACACAAAGAGGATGCTGTACAAACACTGACTCCTCTCAGGCCAGATAGATGCGGCGCGTGGATATGGATTACTGATTGCATTATTATTGCTCAATATCTTCATGAGGTATAAGTGAATTTCTATGTTGTGTTTAAACAGTAGGGGATACTTAAAGGGACAGCTTGACTGAAAATCAAATGTATTGTTTTTCCTCTGGCCTGCAGTGCTATTTATGCTGATAAATCAGCAGCAGTGTCTGTTTCCAGAATCCATAACAACAAATGCCTCAAGGCGCTGTAAGCTGAGATGCTCACAATACTAAGAAAGAAAGCTGGTGATCCTCTATGAGCAAGCAGCTGGTGATGGTGGAAAGAAGTGAAAAAGTGCCTCCCATTCTACTTTTAGAAGAACCACAAGTAATCCTGCAATCTAACAGCGTAGTGCTTTGTTGGAATAAAACGATACTAAGAGGTTTTTAAGCCTGATTATTCAAGAACTTGAAACTACTTTGCTTCTACTGAACTACATCTACCATGCAAAACAAAAATGTAGCTACCTAACACTAAAACTCAAGTGAAGGGGGATACAATTTAACATTTGCACTCTGTCACATGGACAAGCTTCTTGTTACAGGTAGCTGCTCGCTCCTTCTACACAGTGATATGGTTGGTTAGTGCAGCACTGTAGAAAGAAAACATTTCCTACATGAAAACTGCTTACACCAACATTTTCTTTCTTAGTAGCTGGGTATCGATTTCTCAAAAGAGACCCTGCTGCTGAGTTTTTCAAAAACACGAGTGCCATTTAGTTCTATATATACACATTTGAAAGAAGACCAACCAGAAATAGATATCACTAAAATAATCTAGATGGACAAAAAGCACTACAAACCGGAGGAAATAAATGCCAAAATTGATTTTCGGGTGAACTGTCCCTTTGAGAGAGGACACTGCTAATGTAGTGTGAATCACTGGTAGGTGAGAAAAGACGAAAGTGCAACTTAAGTAGGGCAACAGTGCCGAAGGGGAGGAAAAAAAAGACAATGACACTGTTGGGAGAGGGATAATCTTGTTTTGTTGGTGTCATTTACATGTTAAAATATTAACAGCCAGAGACCAGCTGTAAAAAGGCACAAAGAATATGACTTCATACTACTTTAAATATCAAAGTGACTCAGAGAAAAGAAGTTGGTAGTGGGGGTAGCTGCAGAAAACAAGTAGAGGTCTAACAGTGTGAATCTGACAGAATCTGTTACAATGGTTGCTCAGTTTCCTGTTAAAAGTCAAGAGAAATCATTTCTTCTTCCCCCACACCCTGTCCGCCTGCCTGTTCTCCTTCATGACCTGAGTCAGTCTCTGCTGGCTGGGCATGAACCAAGGACCTGGCTGTGTTGTGACCAAAGAAAGAGTTGAGATACTGGCAGCGGACACACTTCCATCAGAGTGGCTGCCTTCAGAGTCTGACTCATCATCCCCCAACTGATCTATGGACAGTGTGGAAGCGAGGAAGGAGAAGGGCTTTCTCTGTGACTCCGGATCAATCACACCCACGCTTCGTAAAGGCCGCTTGACGCTGCTGCTCTGTTCATCATTGTCCTCTTTTTCACACCGATTCAGCCCCGTGTCTTTACTTTTTCTGCTGTCATCACCCCAGGACCTCTCCCACTCAGTCTCTGGCTTCTCTTCTTTCCTCAGTTCTCTGTACTCTGCTGCCATACCCCAGTCGTCATCGCTCTCCTCCTCCCAGATTTCTTTGGGCCTGGGAAGCCTTTGGGTAAGACTTGGAATTGGTAAAATGACTTCCCTGTCACCGTCTTCGCTCTCACTTTCAAACGTTTCCACCACCTCCTTCCTCCTTTCTCCCACCCTCATCAGCTTGTCCCGATTCATAAACTCTTCTCTCTCTAACATCCTCTCCCTCTCTTCGCTCCTGCTTTTCCTCTCTCTGCTCCTGCCTTTTCCTCTTTTCCTTCCCCTCTCTGCCCTCGTTTCCATGTCACTATCATCATAGTTCCTTAGGGCATCTCTAGGTAAACTCTGAGAAGCTTTTTCTCTCCTCCTCCTGTCCCTGGCTCTCCTCAACCTCTCTGTCTGATCAGACATGGGGCTTTGTAAACGCAAGCGTTGTCCTTCACCTGAGACATGTCTTCTTCTCCTTCTACTTCTCCTTCCCGTCCCTTTATCCCTCTCGCCTCCCCTTGACCTGCTTCTCCTCTTCTCTTGTGAACTGCGCCCCCTCCGTCCGGTGGAGTTTACTGCAGCCAAACCCTGCTTCTTGGGGTGATGCAGGAGGGGGGAGGAGGTGATTTGGTGCTCATGGCCTGGACAGACATTGTGTAGGGTTAGGGTGGTGGGCAGAGACAAAAGATATAGACTGAGCAGGCAGTTAAAGAGGAATGACAGCATCTATGGTAAAGAGAATTATGTAATCTGTTATTAAAGACTTCTGAAATCCAGAAAGGTGCCTTAGGTCAGCTTGTGTAATAACAGCTGCTTTTCTATTTTAGTGAAACTTTCATTAGCAATACAACACACTATGGTTATGCAATCAGGCCATTTTCTTTGTTTAACTGTTCAGTGTATGGACAGATTACAAGCTGTCCAATTACTGCTTCAGCATAGGTTTGAGAGACATAAAGCATAATGTTGTACTCTGCTACAATGTTAATTGCTAATCAAGTCCAAGTACTGTCGTTTACTTAATGAAGACAGCGATGCTGGTTTGGTAGAGAGATGTAGAGAGACAGAAAATGGGAGAACTAACAGGAACCATTACCAACCGCGTATTCTCTGTCCGTCCAATGACATAGAAGCAAGGCTCGCCTAGCTTGGAGTTGGTCATGCATAGAGACAAGCTGGAGAGCTCCACTGAGAGAAAGAGAGAGAAAGGGAATGGAAAGGAAACAAAGGAGTGGAGCAGAAAGAAGAGCAGTGTTTGGAAGAAAAACCAACACAGACAAATGAGAAATGTGGTGTGGGAGTGTTAAAAGCAAACAAGGTCAAATGAAACACAGATGTGATGGGTTAAAAGGTGGGAAACACCAGAAGAGAAAATGTTAAAAAAGTAGAGAGCATTTTAGTTAGAATCAGTCCCATAGAAAAACAGGAAACACACCCATAGCAGACATATAACATGCAAAAGCTATGAGGTTGCCCATGTTTCACTCTCAAATTTCTCTTTTGCTATCATGTATTGCCACTCTTAAAATTAAAATGTTCCCACGCTGCCTTACCATAATCAGGCACATAGCCATTTCCTCTCTTGAGGACCAGGTGGATGCGGTGGCCTCCTCTGCGGATCTGCTCGACAGCCTGGCTGTGGGTCATCCCGGCTGTACTGTTCCCGTTTATCTCCACAAGCTGATCGCTCACCTGTAGCCACACACATCATTTCACCGCTTTACAAACTGGAGCTCAATCATTTTAATCACCAGAGTCTGAAATTTTTAGCCTTTATTAAATGTTAATGTTAAATGTTTCTCATATAATAATTTCGTAATTCCATTGATAAATACTTAAAAGTCATCCATCCATTCTTTTCCACTTATCCTCATTACAGTCGCCGGGGGGATGGAGCCTAACCCACCTACCATAGGATGAGAGGTGGGGTACACACTGCATGTCTTTGGACTGCGGGAAGAAGCCAGAGTATCCAGAGAGAACCCACCCAGACATGGGGAGAACATGCAAACTCTTTTAGTCATATAGACTTTAATGTCAAGGCTTCCCCTTCAGACTTTTCAGGAAATATCATCCAAACACATTTTAGCTAACAGAAAAGATTACACGCACATGTTTTATATGGTTTCTATTTAGAAGTATGTAGTAGGAATAATAGTTTAACTGGTTCTGAGTGATATGGGCTGGAAGTATCTGTGAGGCTGTTATGAATAGGAGTGGCAGGCAGGCAGGTACTTTTGGCTGCTTCTCTTCTCTCTTTAGTTTTGCCACATATTTACCTTTTACAGATTTTACACCACAAGCCTCCCTGAGCTTTTGAACCGGGAGAGCTTTTCACATTTTTAGGCGAATCTGAGAGTTACTACACTATGGAAACACAATAAGTAGCTCAAAATTTTTTAAAACAAACAAAGAACCTTCATTTTTCAATTTTCGAATGTACAGAATTACAGTTTACAAAATTGACTGTCAATGGAGAATAAATCTCAACAAGACTGAGTGAGAAAATCTTTCATCGCAGGCTTGTGTTATTACAGGTTTGCAGATCTGGAAATTGGCCACAGTCTTTGCAGTGTTTACTTGGGAATGGCTGCTGTACTAGCAAAGCAAAGTTGCTTAATTTATTTCAACTTCTAGCACAGGATACACTGGATCATCCTTTCTGAAAGAAAAACAGATAATTCTGTCCTACAATTAAATAAAAAAATAACCTGAAAGTTCTTTCCTTTATAATCTTCACCTTCACTTTGCAAAAATGTTGGTCGTTGCGTGACAGCGTTTTGATGACCGCTCAGCTGATTAATTCAATCAGCTCGATGTGCACAGCTCTGGTTGACATCCAGGTAACGAGTACTGTCCAATGCTTGCTGTCAGCACTCCCACCTCTCGGAGAACATGTACATTAATAATTGTCCAGGATTTAAACACATTGATGCCATCCTCTAGTCTTCTCCCACGTAACTTGCGACAAATAACAGACTTGCGGATAACAGAGGACATTTCTGCCAAAAACCCAGCATCCAGCTGCTTGGACTGCTGCCTCCATTGTATTATGTCCTTACTGAGATACTTTGTCATAATAGAATCTCACAAGCAGTGTGGCATTGTGATGTGTGGGACGATCAGAGTATGTTCACTTGAGAGGTCTGCAAACGATACACGAAATGCAAAGGATTTTGCTTCTTGAACAGGCTTTGCTTGTTAAACATCTTTCCCTCCTCGAGATGTCTGAACTCTTTAAAGACATGTTACACAGATGGAATAATCACAACTTTCTTGCGAGAGCTCAGTTGTGGTTGACATCTGTTTGAAACGTTTCCAGCCTCTGCATTTTGCACTGTGAGAATTTCCCTTAATGATGCTGACATGAATCAGCCTGGCTGAAGCATTGCAGAGTTTCCTCTAGTTTGAGAATAGCTCAAAGCAGAGCCTAATTGAGCCTCTGTTGTTCTGGACCCAGGGCTGGGAGTTCAAGTTGGATTTTAGCATCTGAAAGGCTTCTATTAGCTCTTCAGTATTTGATGCCACCCAGTGTAGCCCCAAATTGGATTTAGCAAACATCTGTGTAATTCTTTTCAGGAAGCATACTGCTTTTGACAGTGAAGAAAAGAGAAATGACTGTGAGCACAGATACCTGTTGTTGCTCAGCGTTTGAGAGAATGGCAAAGTTGAGCTGGCACCACCCTTGGAGGAAGGGAAGGGACTAGATTTGAACATTTTGTTGGATGTTTTTCAGAGGTTTCAAAAAGATACCATAGCCATCAATGGAAATGTGCAAGAAGGTGTTTTATTGTTTAGTAGTCAGAGAAGACCACAGAGACCATTTTCGTTATGTGCGGTATGAGGACAGAGACTCCAACAAAACTATGGGGGAGTAGAGGAAGAAAAATACACATGTTTACACTGCTTTTGCCATGTAGTGCGTCAGACATGACACAGAGAAGGGTGAGGAAAAACGTGGCTCTTTTTCAACATAGGAGACTCAAATCAACAATGTTCAGTTTGGGCTAATTTAGCAGCCTTTTATAAGTAAAAACTGATTCTTTAAGCACTATGGTTGTCTTTTACTAATTTCTCACTTAGGAAAAACATGAAAAATGTGAATTCCCCTTCACATTTTTCCTTGACCTTGAGGTCAGGGAAGAGTGTTTCGACATGGATTATTAAACCAGAACTTCAATGCATTCATTATATATTGTGTAAACAAGCTGAAATGCACATAGGAAACAGACTCACCTGCATTTTTTGGCTCCGTGATGCAGGCCCTCCCTCCATCAGTCCCAGAACGTAGAGGCCCATGTTGTACTCACTTCCTCCTCGGAGGCTGAAGCCGAATCCTGAGGGGCCGCGATCCAGATCCACACTGTAATACCTGGAGTCCCGCTGGGACACACAGATAAAGAGGTTTAGGTTAATATTATACACTGGCAGTTAATAACAGCCACAATCAATGTAGGAATTTCAGTGCCCGTTAGGTACACGTGATTGAATGTGCTTCCCTCACCTTTGGACGTGACCTCTGTCCCTTTCGGTTTCTGTGACCAGAGTCATAGTCAGCAGTTTCCGGAAGGTTTGCAGAGTCTGCAAATGATAGTGATTAAGGTCTGATTGTGAAATAAAAGCCAAGCTTTGCACTGTGGCATATGTGTATGTTTGGATGCTTATGTGAATGCCTACAGGTGCTGGAACGCGGGACAATGGTAAGACGTAGAGTATTTCCTGCCCGGCGAAGTATCTGAGCGAGCTCCCGATGAGGCAGAGTCACCACCGAGCGTCCCTCTACAGCCTCTAAACGATCCCCGGGCCGGATCTGACCGCTCTTTGCCGCAGGACTGCCACGACGGACCGTCACAAACCGGTGGGGCAGAAGAGAAGCAGCTGAAATAGGACAGAATAAAACAGTTATTAGCGCATTAAAGTAGATGAGGCTGGAACACGAGATTCCATCAGGCCTAAAAAGTTTCCTCTTAACTGAAGGCTGAGAGTAATAAGTGGAGTCATAAGTAGATAATTATAAAAACAGGAAGCTTTAGCTCATCAGTGCATGTGCCAGAAATCCTAAAACAAGCTATAATTTAGCTTCGGATCATTCTTGACAGGCTATTTTATGAATTACTTCCTCAAAGGAGCCTACCTAGTCGCTCCTTTCCCCACTATCTCCTTGAAACACTTTCCTCTTCTCCCTCATATTCCCATCTATCAACCTACCTCTCTAACCACTGACACGCCGCAAACAGTTTTTCAGCTGTCCAACAATGCATCTTCCCCCTCAAGAATAAACTGTCATGGAACGCAATCTTTCCGGCAATACTTTTTTCCAACCCAAATCTGTCAAACCGCACATAACAACAAACTTTAGATCTTTAGATATCTGTTTACCCAGCACCAGTGATTCTTATGCTCAGCACATCTAACATCCCCCTCAAACTGTAGCTTGTGTGCATTAGTATGCCACCGGCTTAGAAAACACACACAGCAGTACTTTTATTTTTCGTGCAAGCACCATCGAATATTTTTCTCCTCGATGTGGGAAAACGACTCTTCTCACCCTCATCAGCTATAAGACACAGTGTGAAACTGAGGTTACAGATAATACACAAGTGTGTTGTGGAAGGCGAGGACCGGACCATTAGCTTCATGTATAATGAACTCCATTTGTCTTATTGTCTGTATGAAGAGATCACGTGCAATTAAGCTAAAATGGTCAGAATCTGAGGCTGATGAGAAAAATATTCAGCAGCCTAACAATAAATTTGCTTCCTTTAATCTCCTGCACCAACTAAAAAGCTTAAATATTTTTAGCTGGACAGCTGTTTCTGTCTGCTGTTATCTCTTATTTCTCTTTTTGTGTTTTAATAAACTCCCTATTAGGCTTTCCCTGACCCCACTTTGAGGGAATGCGGAGCTTTAGTGGCAGCTGGCCCTTCTACAGTCTTGCCAGTGGCCTTATGTAACCCATCAGGCAGCATAAACATTTTGAAACTGTTATTCAGCTGAGGTACATGACGCTCAATTCTGCCATTGTCCCTCTGGTACCGAAATAGCATGTTTAGAGTGATTTAAAGAGCAAAATGAAATGCTTCGTTAACAGATTAAAATTGTATTCTTGGCGGTAGGAGTATGTCGTATGAGATGAGGAGCATGTCACATTGGAATCATGATTCAGTTACAAGGTTCAGCCTATAAATCAGAGCCCAGAGACACGAGTCCAATCTGGGCCTAATCTGGGTGACCCAGGCGGAAACAGCAATCAGGTCAAATCAAAGCCAAGGCAGCTTTGCAAATAGTCTTCTTATCATGCATAATACATCAACAGTGGCTAAACACATGAATACACATGCAACAGCGATGCTCACACGCACACGGCAGCATTGTAGAAATGCACAGACACATGTTAAGAATCTCACACACACACACAGACACACAGTGACTCACATGCAAAAAGATGAGGACAGATGCACTCAGCCACAAATGCACAAACAGACACACAAGCTACACACACATGCATCTGAACGGACTGCATTATATCGTAGTGCCTTTTCCTCTGGCTCTCCATGTTCTCCTGTCCACAGTGATCCCACTGCGGTATGCCCAGCAGCCAGCCAACCTCTGACGTGCTGCACTGATTACCGCTCAGGAGTCGAGCAGCCCCCCTCTTCCATAAAAAACCCTCTCTGGACCCCAGATGAGGCGGCGAGTGTGGACATCGCTACAGCAGCCTGCGGATGTATACTACATGTTGTACACCGGGAGGGGAGAGAGGAGTGCTGGTTTTCAGCAGGATCACTCACATGGTAGTGTCTCTGCCAGTTAGTTAATGCTGAACATCACCGCTACAATCGAACTACCATTAGAGCTGGGACTAATCGCCTTTTACCACAAATGCTCATTATGTCTTGTGCCGTTTTACACCTGACTGGGCTTAAAATAACAACAAGATTTCCTTTCATCAGCTGTTGCTTCAATCACAAAGGCTGCATCATCATAACTGCAAAATCAACCATACAACACATCTCTTGCAGCATCCTTTTGATCAAGCATCTGACACCTCGAACGTGTGAGCATGTGGTTCGAACTTTCACACCGTCAACACATCTGGCTGAGCAAACTTTAGAGAACAGAACGCAGTATTTAACACTACTACCTCACCTACAAAGCTGAATGTGAAACACTGCACCAAACCAAGACCAACCTCATTTCTGCCAAACACACAAGAAGAAGTGGAGCAAATAATTACGTTTGGACTCCTTCACAGTTCTCAAAGCAGACTGTAGTCTCTCCAGCATGGCTCTCTGATTCGCATGCACAGGAAAACAAACAAAAGGATTAAAAAAAAAAAAAAAAAAAAATCTGTGTCAAGCAGATTCACATGCAGCGGTCGACAGGAGCGAAAACACAGGTTTGCTGTCGCTTCTGTTGCTCCTCGGCGAGGGAAACATTCAGTGTAGCATTTGTAGAGTGATGGAGAGAGCGGGAGGTACGGAGCGATAGATACAGAGAGACGGAGAGAGAGTTTTAATCTTTTGAAAAACCAGACTGGACGCTTTTACTGCAGAGCAAAAGGGGTGTGAGAGAGAGAGGGAGAGTGGGCAGGAGCTTATGAGTGAGAGTGAGAGAGGAAGAGAAAGCCAGAGATGGGAATAGAAAATTATTAAGGAAAAAAAAAAAAGAGGAAAAGAGAGACAGGGGTGAAATGAAGGGGAGAATGAGGACATGATGGAGATGGAGGCTTACAAGAGTGGACAGACTTTGTACTGCAGGGACAGGTGCAACTACAACCTTAATCTCACCATGAAAACACAAATGTGTGCTCGCTTGGGCCATAAAGCAAATTGAACTGCATCAAAGTGGAACAGAGCAGCTAATGCAAGACATGTAAAGGTGAGAGGGTAATACATCACTGGGATGCTGCGGCTAACCTGCTATTCATAAGCAATACACTAAAAGCTAATAAGGGGCAGGATGTGTTCACTTCCCAGACAGAACTGAAACAATGCAGCATTGTCCCGTAAGATCAAAGATACGAGACTACTTTTCTTAATTCAAGCTTGAATATTCAATTCAAAAGATTGCAGACATAAACATTTAAAAAAAAAATCTATTCTTAAATCATTTTTGGAAATGAATGAAAGATGGGGCTGCCACATAAACTTTGTGATCTTTTAGCAAAGCAGTTCAAGCAGTTTGAACTTACAGTATTTTTTAGAGGATAAAAGGATACGATCCATTAACAATATAAAATGCACTGTATGCTGGTGGTTTGCACGGTCAGCTAACAGCACATGTGTCAAACTCGAGGCCTGTAGAAAAAATCTGTGGCTGGCAAACCAGGTTAGACTCAATTAATTTTGGCCCATGCAGCTCTAGCTGTGATATGCCAGCTTAACAACTTAAACAATTTCATCTGCAAGAATGCAATCTCTGTTTTGTAAAAGTATAGTTTGTCCTCAAAGTGGACATGAAATTCTTACATTTTTCTGTGCAACCTGTTTCACTCGCTTGCTTTGCTGTATGACATTATGTAAACTACACGACCATTTCTTTTCTAACATTACATTTCCCTGTGACAAAGTGGTCAGGCATGAACTCATTTACCACTTGTCCCTTAACCACATTGATAATTTATTCCTTGTTATTTTACAGTCAACCATACTGCTTTAATTTAGACATTGCTAGTGTAACTTTGCTTAACATACTATCCCGGGTTTGTTTGTGGTAGCAGTAGTTACATCCATCACATCCATGCATGCATCCATGTTTTTTTAAAGCAAATACTATTAACCATCAGGTCATTTGAATTTTCTCCTGTTCACAGGCAAATGTCTGGTAAATGATGTTTTTTTTATGTTGCTTTGGTTATACTTACCATGTGTGTGGGAAGGGCCACCCCAGTACTTCCTGTTTATATAGGGTCACGAGGTCATGGATTGGATCACTGGATGTAACCAAGTGAAGGGTTTTTCATTTTGTATAGCATTGTTTATTTTCTTTAAAGTAGCCTTTTGAGTTGTACTGTATGCAGTGTTTTACTTTTCAAACCATTTAGCAGAGTAAATGAGTTTGTCAGTTTCATGCGTAATCTTATTCCTGTTCTTTGTTTAGACTCGTATTGTTCGGTCTGACCTATTTTTTTCTCAATGGTAGAGACTAATGAGGTTCAGGTGTGTGTAAAGTCCTGTATACAGCAAGTGGGATTTTTGCCTACCAGGATGGTTGTTTTATGGTAGAATGGAGATGCCAGAAATAAAGTACACTTAAAAGAAACTTCACTAGTATGCTGATGCTGTCCACTTATCACCTTCCTTGCTGTTTGTTACCACACAGTGGTCATGTTCAGGCCTGTACAACAGGCTTTTGTGAGTTAGCTGTATGGTTGTCTATATTGTTTAAATTTTTGTTGACTGGCTGAGGGGGTTTATGCCTACAAATCTATACAAGATAGTTTTCAATTTAACTAAATAAATAAACAGGACATGCATTTTCCAATAAAGAAAAGGAATGTGATTCCTTCTCTGGTAAATTCATCCCACAGTCCAAGAAAGTGCAAGAAACAACCTGTCCAAGGAGTCCAGTGTGAGATGGGATAGTAGATTGTATATAATCTTAAATGTTTCAATTACTTGTTTCAACTCTCACAAAATAAAAATATAAAAATATTGAGTTCATTTTGTCAAATAGTATGAAAGATAGGATAAATTAGGCTATGCCTTAGGGTGGTCCTGCAACGGGAATAATGAGTTGCTAGCCCAGAACCCTAGATAAACATTTAAACATTTAAAAAAAAAAAAACCAAATGAGTGAATGAATCTAAAGCACAGCTGTGCACCTGACAAATGGTGAGCAACTTCCTGCTTCCAAGCAAAAAGTGCACTTCATGATGAAGCAGTCACTTGAAAATAGAGGAGGTCAAAACCAGTTTTCTTTACAACCCAAATAAAACCAACCTGGAAGCCTTTAAAAGAGAAAGGTTCATTGTGCATCATGACTCATCCAGTGGCATGTGGCCACGGTGACCACTTTTTAATCTGTAATTACCTAATGGTCTTTCTGTCCACAAGGGCGTCCAAATGAGACCCGTTTTAGTGGGCATCTCACCAAATCGCTTTACCCAGCCAGAAAAGTTCAACTAATGTTGCATAATGTCCATCCAATTCTGTTTCTTTGGATTAAAAAAATACTGTGTCGCTCACCAAAATTTAAAAGCTTTACTATCTCTAAAAGATTTAACCTGATGAAAGTGTCATGATAAGTCACAAGTTGAATCTTACCTTTCCCATTCTCCACGTCCTGTGAGGCAATCACAAAGCCAAAGCCTTCTCCTGGCTTTCTCCTCAGCTCCACTTCAATTCCTCGATGCCGCCGAGTTCGTTCACCGCCCTGCTTCTCCAGCACTGGAACGCCAGCAGCTTCATCCTCCAGGCCCGTGTTAATCCAGTCTTTGGGCTCCATAGTGAGGGTTACTGGAATGGATTCCAAGAAACTCGTGCTCTGGATTAGCGAGGAACGTGCTGGAGAGGGAGGTGTGCCGACAGAGGTCCGGGGCACTTGCAGTGCCTCTGGGAGCACAGAGGAATTGTCAGGTGGAGGAGGGGGACGGAGCAGAGGTGGAGGGAGTCTCCGGATAGTTCCAGGGGAGACAGCTGAATGATAGACTCCTGATAAGGAGAGTGAGAGAATAAAACCGAAACAAATAAAAACAAAGAGAATACATTTTGTTAACGATTCACTAAAAAGTAGAGCTTCTTATTTTATTAATTACTGGAGACACCACATATAACAAAAAAGGGGCTTTTTAAAAAATTTTAATAGCCCTAGAGGATAGTTTGTCCAGCAAAGTGCACTGAAACACCACCGTTATGCTCAATGTGATGCAGCAAATGTTACAGAGTAGCATCGCTGCTGAGTAGGCATTTTAAGGAATAAAGGAAAATCTACACATCCATCCATCCATTCGCTTCCGCTTATCCTTTTCACATCTGCACATTAATCACCAAATAATTTCCTCGTCAGTATGACTTCAAAATAAGCTTGTTCCTGACAAATGATCGTGTCATTCATGTTCATCATGTCTGTTAGCAAATAGGCAGCTAATTTGCCAGTAGAGAGGCAATTATTCCCAACTATTCCACTGGTACAGTTGAGTTATTTCATTTCAACAGTATGCAGGGGTATTAAAAAAGAATGAAACAACTAATGTGGGGAAATGATCTAATCTAAAGAACCGAGTCTACCTGCAGGTCTGAACAGAAAATTTGGGTAAGCAGTAAAAATGGACGGAAAAAGTGAATGCATAAATGGTTAAAGCAGATATTAACAGGACAAGTGGAATTTATAGTAATAAGACAACTGTCTTATTACTATAAATTATAAATGGTGAGTTAAAGTAAAACTTTTGAACATGACAGGTGGTAAAAATGAACGTTCTTGAGACCTGACAGAGCTACAGAGGAATGTCAGGAGGGAGAGGCTGAGAACCGCTGATGGAGCAGATTGCAAAGTAAACATCAGAACAACAGCTGCTCAATCTGAATTCCACAAAACCAACAAACATTTTAATTGGTTGGTCAGATGCAAAGGTGGAACTTTAAAAAGTTCCCATCTTTTATTCTACTGCAACGAACATGCACATTATGTATGCACATTACTAAGCTGGCAAAGCAGTTTTTTGGTTCTAGTTCTTATGCAAGTCAGGGTTGCAGGAGAGCAAAAATCACTGAATATCAAATGATTGTGAATTATTTACCTCCTCTGTAAACCAGTAAGATGACTTCTCCCCGTTTGGCGTGCTCCTGGATAATTGTTTGTACCTGAGAACAAACATTAAAAGTATTAAGTTTTGAAATTGTTTCAAAGTTTTTAATCATGCAAAGTCATTTCTGATTCAAACTTAAGGGGTGTGAGGAAAAAATAAGCTAAAATGTTGGAAACCACTGTTTTTACGCACTGTATTATCTTCATCGGTTTATGTTTCATCTCCCTGGTTTTCTTTCCACTTTTTCTCCTTTACCTGTGTAAAGCTAAGGCTCTGGACGTCAGCTCCGTTGATTTTGACAACAGCGTCCCCTGGCTGCAGGGAGTTGCACTGCTTCCTGTCCCAAACTCGATTTACTAAAGCAATAGTGCCTCCTGGACCGCCAGCCGTCATGCTGAAGCCCAGGCCTCTGTCTCCTTCAGTCTGGCCCAAGGCCACTGGCACCAGCTCCCCTCCACTGAAAGCTCCAAGTCCACTGCCTACACTCATTGCCCCAGGTGAGGACATGCTGCTGGGACTTGCAGTGGGGCTGGTGTTGCCCTGGAAACCATTAAAGCCACGGTGTTGCGGGCTGTCTGGGGTTGGAGGTCTGAGATGGGAGGTCTGTGGTCTGAATAGGTGGGGATGAGTGCTGCGGGGACCACCGGGGGAAGAGGAGGGCCTTCCTGGAGACTGAGGCAGGGGTAGCCGGGACCCCGATAGGGTGGACAGGTCACTCTCAGACGACTTGGATGTTCCATAAAGTAAAGGATGACGAGGTGTCGCGAGTGAGTTATTGTTGTGATTACGGATCATTGATGCCCTGATGAAGAAGAGAAAGGAGAGTTAAAATCAATACTAAATGCCTCTGTGTTCAGAGACAGTATCATACTAAAACATGTAGGGATGCAGTATCTGCCATTTAGTTTTTAGAAATAATGTCCATCTCTGAAATCCAATTTTCGCTCATCACAACATGGCAGATAGATTAACAACCCCGCAAACCGTAGTGAAGCTTAATCTAAAATGCTTCCTTTTTTCGACTGGCAAGATGATTACCTGACTGATCACTGAAAATTTTGTTGCACTGAGGCTAATCATAGCCTCAGTATCCTGTTTTTAGCTGGTAGGAACCCCATGTGGTTGTCATCTATTTCAAGGTTTGACATACTGTGGGTTCAGAGATGCTCTTCTGCATACTTTAATTGTAATAATTGGTTATTTGAGTTACTGTTGCAGTGTGGCCATTCTCCTCTCAAGTCAACAAGGCATTTTCTCCCAGAGAACTACTGGGACAACGGATATTTTCCTTTCTTTTTTTTTTCTCAGAGTATTCTCTGTAACCCCAACCGATGGTTGTGTGTAGATTAGCAGTTTCTGAAATACTCAGACAAGCCCGTCTGGCATAAATAGCCATGCCATGTTCAAAGTCACTTAAATCACCTTTCCATTCTGAATCACGGTGTCAGTTTAAACAGGTATTCTTGGCCATGTCTATATGCCTAAATGCGCTTATTTGCTGATCAGATAATGGCCAGTTGAACATGTGTATCTAATAAAGTGGCCTGTAGGTGTATATGTCAAGATAACCCATAAAACTGTACTCCATGAATCATTAAGGGGAAAATTTGATTTATGGTTGGCACCTTGACTCCAGACTGATGGTGAACTTGCTGAGCTAGCTACGCCCACACAGCGGTGGACAGTTAAATTACCCAAGGGGATACAAGAAAAACTGGAAGGACTTCCCCAATGAGCTCATAAATAGATCAAATTATACTCAAATTACACAAATTAAAAGAGAATTAATCATTTAATGTCTCTAGGTATGCATTTATTTTTGCATTTAAGTTATTACCTGTGTGAACCAATCGCAGAAACAACTTCACTGTCACTTTGGCTTGCCATTGTTGGGTCGAGTGACTGCAGCCTGGCTAAACTTCTGTGGGAGCGAGGTGGGCGAACAGGGGACGAAGAGACGGCATTGCTCACACTGGAGCGTCTGTAAGGGGGCAGGTGTCTGGAGGTGACAGACATGGCATTTCCATTTGTGTCCAGAGTCACGCCAGGCTCCATGTACCTCCCATCACCGTGAACCCCATTAAAGTGCTGCGTGTGGGGTGAGGGTGCTGGTAGGCGAGGTAGTTGGTGAAGAGATTGAGGTTGGGTGGTGGTGGGTGGTAGGATGGGGTCCACACTGTCCAGTAACCTCGAGTGCTTTGGATAACCATCCGGGTTGTAGAGCATTGGATACCCTCTTCTAACTTCTACATCCACGCTGTGGCCTACAGACACCACCTTGAGCATCTCTACAACCTCTTTGTGAGACATTCCCAACACACAGACGTCATTGATGTACACCAGGATGTCCGCTAATAAACCACAAACAAAAGGACAGGGATACAAAAATAATTATCACAAATTTCTTAACTTAACAACAGATTCTTTCTGTTAAACTGTTCTCACTTCTGTTATATTTTTTGAAAAATCCATCTACCAAACTACCATCCAAATGTTAATTCAATATTAATTAGAAAATTGCTTATTATCAACTAGTCTGTGCATTCAAAGCACTCTTTTGATCTGTTTTAATCTCAAATAATTCAAAATTAACAGATTATAATTTGTTGATTGTTGCATTGTTTTCTGAAATTGTGTGTGTTTGTGCTTGCAGATGCAAAGCACAAACACACATAGCTAATGTACTCATATTTATTTAGCACTTTTCTAGTTTTACTGACTCCTCAAAGCCCTTTGAACTACAAGTCACACAATAACTGTTTTCTATGCACTTCAATCACCAGTTAACTCAAAATGTGTGGAAAAAACCCACTGCAAGTACTCTGGAGTGGATTAAACATGCAAACTCTGCACAGAATTAAACCATGAACCATCTTGATGTGAGGCAACAGTGCGGCTCATCCCACTACAACCACACTGTTTCACATCCCGTGTCTGTGTCAAGGCACCATCTCGCAAGGCACCTTCTGACCTCTGTTCCTTATGCGGACCATATACGATCATATCTACACTGTTTTACTATTACGCTCTTTTGAGATTCTCCCGTGACCCTGCAAGGACCAGCGGTTTTGTGTCCCTGCGGGACGCTGGGTGAATGCATGTGAACACAGGCAGTTCTCATGACAGTGTACTGATGAACTCTGTCACCACTGTCCCGTGAAAAATACACACAGACATGACATGTCTGTCACAATTCCCTCAAACCACCATTTTACTTGATTTGACCGACACTGCTGGACCTAAAAATCTTTAAATCTAAAAATCTTTATCAGTAGTTATGGGTTAAATGTGACACCAAACAACCACAGTGTACAAAAATTTGTATCACCCGTACAACAGTATAAAAATATTCATATTGCAGTCTAACTAAGCAAAATTTAGGTTATTTTTGCAGCTGAAAAATGTCAGAATGAGTCAAATTTGACCCGAGCAGTATGTAAGGGTTAACCCTTCTTACTAGTTTCATATGCTTAAGTGTGGAGCATTTGTAAATGGAATACACACTGTGTATTTTGTATGTGTGTAGACTAATCCGACCACATAATCCTCCTAAACCAGCCTATTAACAGATATGAACTAGATCAGTCCCTGCAGAGACAGCCTGTGCCCCGGCTTTCTAGAGTGCAAATACCATGCCTAGTGCATTTGCATGAGTGTGTCTGCAACCAGCATGTGCAGTGGTGTTTATGCATGACGGCCAGATTAGAGTGTGCTAGCCCTGAAGATTAAGAACTGATCACTCACTTTCTGTGGAATATTTTATAGTGAAACCCACAGAAATTCTGACAGAAAGAACAAAAATAAGAAAAAAGACACTTACACACTACCAACTGCAAAACTGTAGCAGTCATGACCATGATACATATAATCTTTTACCTGTCTTAAGAGTGGAGGGTCCACTTTCTGTCACACTGTACACCTGCAGAAACTCTCTCGGCCTGCTTCCCCCCACAATATTGAAACCAAACCCTCTGGGGCCTTTGATCAAGTGTGTGTGCACAGGGAAACCCCTGAGGTCCCCAGGCTCGTCCGTGAACCCTGCGAGTTAGCGATAAAGGCGGAAAAGAGAGGATGGGTTAATAACGATGCTTACCTCCAAGAAAAAGTCATAATAGTCCTTAAGGAAAGAAATTTAAAAATATGCCAACAGGGTGGAATCATAGAAGAGACTGAACACCGTCCTGCATGTTTACATACAATTCAGTGCTTAGAACTGACAGGTCTTACGAATAAGGCAAAAGAGAGAGAGCTGTAACACTGCAAACCAATCAGCAGATGGGCTTTTAACAAAATGCTACACAAACCAAAGCATATGGTTGGCCGATTGCATTAAAAGCAGAATCCATTACAGACGACCACCTTAAAATGGAAACATAATCCATTAGGTCGACCCAGCTCTCTACAGTAATCCAGGTCTTTATTTACTATTTACTGTTGCATCAAGAAATCTGTGCTATTACAGACTGCGCCTTTCCTTTCATGTTTGTTCTTAATTCAATCCTGCCCTAATTGTGGGGACAGAAGCAGCAATCATTTCCAGCTGTAAACATGTAAATGTTTGTACCAGATTGTGCAGAAATCATCATAATGAATATTATATCACCTTCTGCTGGTGAGAAAAGTGTACTGCACTTTGTCGAGTCACAGTGTGGCAACAGAGCGTTTCCAATCATGACAAACAGCCATCTGCAACTAGATTACGCCTCTAAACAACAAATGATGTGGCCAAATCATGAAATCAAGTTGCCAGTCACATGTCATACACGTGTCAACCCTGCCAGTCCCAGCAGCGAGTCTGGCTCTTCGCCAGCAGCTCTGAGCTTTAGGCCTTAATCACTTACACGTCTCAGTTCAGCTAAAAGCTCATTCCATCTCATTTGGCTCTAACAAGCTGGCTGTGTCTGTTTCTTCCCTTTTTGACAAATATATAGCTTCATTTAGACTGTTCAATAGTTAAATCGCCTGTGTTTTAATAATTACACGGAATTTGAGTGAAACGTAGAGAGAAAGAGACGAATGCAAACGAAAGACGCTCACAGTCGTTTTTGTAGAGGTTTTCCCTGCTTGAGGCTCGATGACTCTGCCAGCTGGTCCTCTTTGGGTTGCGTCTTGGAGAGACAAAGTTGGAAAAGAAATGAAAGCCACCCTCTTTAGAAACATAACAGCATTGGATACAATATGACAGTGCTGGAATTTATTACACTTTTGTTGAACAATAGAAACGCCTGCCTCTGCAAACAATGCAACTTTCTCTGCCATCTTTTTCCAGCGTGCTAAAAGGAGGCATTGAGCAAATTGAGAAAATCACATATTCACTTTTTAGAATGAAATGAAAATGATAGACAGACAGACTCAGGTTTCTGACTTTTTTAAATGCATATTTTTAATATGCATATATTAAAAATATGCATAATATATTTATTTTAAAAAACTTTAGTCTATTTATAAGAGTAGATATCTCTTCTATTGCTATCTCAGGTGCAGCATTTTTGCTGTGAATATGGAAGCCTTATTGTTCAGATCTTTTTACGAGGGGCAGCCAATCAATAATCGAATAGAGAATGACTTGATTGATCTGAATTAGGAATTGTGCAAAAGCCACTGTAACAGAGTCCAAGAATCAAAAGAATTATCATAGAGAAGACCAGCAAGGAAATACAGCCAGTCAGGCTTTGACTAAAAATGCCTGAAAACAGTAAATCTCATTAATAAAAATAACGTACATGTTGAATTAATTAAATATTTCTACGTCAGTGATTAGGTTCGGATTAGGAGTAGATGGGTGGGGTTCGGCCATGTTAAGCTGGTAAGTGCATGCAACCCAGCTATTGCTGGGGTTTAAAAAAAGAAGCCAGCCTTGCTGTTGTTCTGTATTTCCTGGCTTTAGCTTCATAATAAGCTGGCAGATAGAATGGTGTTATTGATCTTCTTGTCTAAAGCCTTATTATCTGAAGACCTCTAGTCATTTGTAATAATTGCTCAAGAAGTCTGAGATCAAAATCTCATACAAATCTACAGGATCCATAATTTGAAAAGTTAATATTTGTACCACAGATAACCTTTTTATGGTGAATCCCAGAGGTGCTGTGGTGTTATTTATATTTTATTTGTATGAAATTATCTTTAACTTTCTGTTCTCCACACCTTGCTTGTGCATCTCTGCTGTCAGAGTTGTGACTGTTACAAATTAAGGAGGGTTAGTGTCACTATACAGCATAAAGACCGATAGAAATTTTATATCCTCTTGCAGAAGAACAAGGATGATGATGAGATGGACAACCGCAATGACAGGAATTGGTAATTAACATTTTGCTGTCTTTCAACAGACTTGGCTGTTATTATGTGGCAGCCTATTATTATTAATCTTAGTCCTGTAGCTGCTGACCACAGATGTCAGTAAATTCAAGTAAAACACAGACTTCACTGATCCTGTGCGAACGTGCTGCACAAAATACAGACGTGGGGGGCGGGTAATTTCTAAATCACAAGATCCCCTTTGAATAATAATCCCATGTGAATAGAAGTTAAATCTCAGAACGTGAATAAGCCTGTTCCCTGAAATGTTGGACTATTCATTTAATAGATTTATGGTGATACTTACTCTATGTAAACTGACTCTCCTGGGTCACTGAAGGCCTGCTCCCAGTGATCGGGCATCACGCCTCTCACTCTGGCACCACTCCTGCTGCTGATGATGCCGTTTTCTATGACGTGACCATCGCCTCCGCTACTGGATGCTCGTGTGCGACCGGGAGACCGGTGACCAAGAGGGATGCTGCTGCTAACACCCGCAGAGCCTCCTGTAATTACAGTCAGAATCATTTTTATTGTCACGTGCACATGCAGGATTTTTTTTTTTATGACAGAGAAGAAATACTTAACACTGATATATTATTGAACAGATGTGGCAGGTAAAAAGTTTCTCCTGCAAGCTGTAATGACCTTATTCTGGCATTTCCACTGGGGGCTGTCAGGCAAAAAGACCTGAGGTCAGCATCTCAGCTGTCTTTGTCCTTTCTCTAAGGAGGAAGAATATGTGACTATGCATGCCACACTAGCAGTAGATGAAAAATAAGCATATTTTCTTTCCTAGCTGTCCTTGTAGCTGTCCTTCAGTTCTGAGCTCCAGCATGGATTTAAGAGACGTCAGCTCTAACACTGGGAGTCCTGCTGCACGCGACAAGTGATGCTGGACCCATCCACCCACGCATCGTCACTTCAAAAGATGACTCAGCAGAGGTCAGGGTGTTGGACGGCTCTCTCAAACTCCAACCTGCCTGCATCCTGCACCGGTCCGGACTGCCTGCTGCAATACCTGACTGCTTGGAGCACGTTTCTGGATAGCTGTCTGCCTGATTTTCTCACCTCCCACACTGCCTGCCTCTCTCTTATCTTCTGTCCCATTCTGGCTCCCTGCCTTCACCCTTCTTAACACTCAGCCACCCTACCTGCCACCTCCACCCCCTACGCTGCTGCCGTGCTCCCTTTCTCTAATATTTAATCTTACACTCACCTTCTGTTCAGCTCCTGTGTACTAGTTTCATGTTGCCTTCACTTCTTTGTGCCTGCAGTCTATTCAAGTATATAATTTTGCAGTATTTGTATTTCACTAACGCTTATTCACCACAATTCAAAGGGTAATATTGTTTATAATTTATATTTTTTACTCTTTGTAGCTTGTGATCATTTGAAGGTGTATGGCTGGAGGCCCTTGTCATTTCCTTTTAATCATGAAAGCACAAAAATATCTGTATATGTGATCATTTCCTGTCTTGATCGCTGTATCTTGCAAAGCTTTTGCACCTTTTTGCTTCAACTTGTGGTTATTTTGCATCTCTTATGGTCACTGTGTGTCTTTATGGTCATTTACATTTATTTCTCATTATTCCTGGAGTTTTTTGGAAGCTATTCTAGTCTCTCTGGAATATGTAATAGAGCACAGAAACCTCTGAGTGTTCGGGCTCTTCGTGCCTCCCAGGTTGGCTCAGTAAATGTAGGTCCATATGAAAAATCACCCATGGTCTGAATGAGAACTACTTCCAAATGTTCTCTCGCCACAAGGGGTCGCCACAGCAGGTAGCTCCAGATGTTTTTGATTTGGCAGAAAACCAAAGAGAATTTGCGTCCCCATCTGGACTCGAACCAGTGCCCTTTTATTTTCCAAGCGAATGTGTTAACCACTACAAATTTGGAGGTATCTTCATAACAACTGAATAAATATTCTTGTATTTTTATGATCTAATACCCAAACTGAGTCCCAGGCAAAGGATATCTGCACTAGGACTCAAAAAAAAAAAAAAAAGGAGTACCTCACAAGTCGAAGCATTATTAGTAACAAGCTGCTTCTACTTTAAGTGCATTTCGCTGATGATGCTTTTATTTAAATATGTTTTTGAAAGTAAGCTCTTTGCATTAGTCTTTTCTCTCACTGGTGATTAATGAGCCTTTTAAGCCTTCTCTTTAAACGAGATAGTATTTTGGTCACAACTGCCACAAAAACCTACAATGACCGTATGTTTGGGGAGCCCAATGACTCGAGTCGAACAATGCTGCTTTCTTGTCGCATGATTTGCTAGTTTTCGTCCCTCACCTCTCTGTGTGCACACTTGTCTGCTTCCCTCTTTGCCTGCTTGACCCAAGGCAGCTTGACCTTCCCTTGGAGGTGATCCAGCAATCGATGAGGCCACAGCCCAACTGAGATTTTAGAGCATACTAATCATGCTAATGATTGATTAATTTGGGCATTGGAGACTGGAGCTATTGATAGAGAGACGACGCAGTATTAAGCTGCTGAATACTTTGCAGTTCTGAGAAGATACATTTTCCCACTGCTGATATGCTATATAAATAACTCAATATAACTGATAACTTCAATGCTTCATTTATGATTTCTTAGATGCAGACGAACATTTATTGCTCTGCCAGCACCGGCCATAGTTTAGCTCAGCGACACTTGCCCGAGTCTCCCTCGTTGTGTATGCCTTCTGGTGCAGCCTTTTCCAAGTTGCTGAGCGATTTGCTGCGTGTGCGGAAGTTTCTGAGCAGGTTGCGGTGTTCCTGGTAGGTGATGGGGGGGCTCTCTGCACTAACGTGAACGGGCCGAGGTGTGCCGTAGTAATTCCCTGAGACGGAGAAAAGCAGAAGAGAGACACCCTTTCTTAATAAATTGAGATGCAATGAAAAAGTTAAATGTTATAATGAAATAAACTGAGATATTGGGATTAATGTACATTATGGGCCCATTCAAATCCACTGGCATTAATTTGAAGATCATTAATTTCACAAAGCCTATATGAACAGTTCAAACATGATATGAATTCATGAGATAAATAAATTGCACGATTATGCACATATATACCTCATACAACATATACATGTACACACCTTTGTTATGTATCCCCTGAGATCATAAACTACATTCTTAGAATGAGCCATCTGCTCCAGCTCCTAAAGCAGAAATGAAATTACCTCCACCCCTCCATTTGGCTCGTGGAGATCCAAATGGGCTGAGGGAAACATTAGATTAGTGAACTCAGCAGCAAGGTCACCAGCCGTCACCGTTTACTGCGCTTTCTGCAGGCGATTGGACGAACAACGCTGCCGACACTCCAGACTGCTTTGCTGTAGCAATATGTCCGTCAATGTCACATGCAAGGCAGGTGAGGATGGCATTTATTGCTCCCATTAAACTCTTATAAATTATGGATGTTAATGTATGGAGGCTTTTTAATCAGAGGCAGCACTCTGACCCTTACAAAAGGAGGAGTCTGTGGGGAAGATACAAGCTGAGTATCACCAGTTTTCATGAATAAGCACCAAGAATTAGCCTTTGAAGCCTCCTTGTATTTACCTTACACATCACCACTGTTAGAGGCACAATAAGGGAAGAGGGTGACAAAAGTCTTCCAGTGTTTTCTTGCTGAGAAGTAAATGTGAAGACCGATATGACATGGGTTTGATAAATGCACACTTAATGTGAGCCAGGAGACATTTAGCTGAGCTAAGCATAAAGAATGGAAATAGGCTCATGTCAAAAAAACAGAACTTAAGCAACAAATCAGAGCACCTATAAATTTACAAGATAAATCTCAGTTGTGCAACATGGACAGAAGGTAAAATGTAAAGATGACAAGTTGTCTCATGGTGTTTTTTTCTGTTAACTGTTTAACTTTTGGCTCTTTTACTTGATCTCTGGTCACGTTGTTTCCTTTTTTGGATTCATGCAGCTTTCACTTGTGCGGCACCTTTTGATGCTTCTTCTTTTAGTCTGATTAAAGTTACCTTTGTTTCACTACCTGCCTGTCTGCCTTCTTTGACTCCTGCACTGGTACAAAATTGTGGTTTTAGACATAGACATAGACTTGATTAACCCCACACTGGGGAAATTCACATGTTACATGAAAATGTGAATTAGAGATATTTTAGAAAAATAAATAAGAAATAAATAAGAAAAAATATTGTACAAAATAAACAAGTAAAAAAAATATACAAGTGTAATTTGTACTATTTATAAGTGGTTGGTAAATATAGTAAAATACACTGAGATTTTTTCACACACAAAGAGCAGTGGGAGTGATTATACCTACACATATATTTTAGCAGGTATCTATTGTATGTGTGTTTTGCCCAGCCTGACTACTGTCGGGATGAGTGCTCCGTCCTACAACATGGCTGGAACAGATAAACAAGCTGCTCAGGGGATATGAGGTATTGTCCATAATGGACGTTAGCTTGGATAGCATCCTCCACTCACCCACCTCCTCTATAAAGTCGAGTGGACTGGCCAGGACAGAGCTGGCCCTCTTCACCTGTCTATTTAGTTGGCTCCGGCCCCTTTCCATGCTGCCATCTCCCCGGCAGACTACTGCATAAAAGATTGCAGAGACCATCACTGTGTCATAAAAGGTCCTCAGTAAAGACCTGCACACCCCAAAGTACTCAGCCTGCCGGGCAGATGGAGCCGACTTTGGTCCTTCTTGTGTAGAGCATGAGTGTTTTCTGACCAGTCCAGTTTACTGTTAAGGTGAACACCCAGGAGTTGGTTTTCTCTGGAACACAACTACCATCTCCTCCATCTTACTGGTGTTGATATGCAGGTGGTTGAATTCACACCAGATGACAAAGTCAGTGATGACCTTCACCACCCAGGACAGTAGGCAAACTGTAGAGGGTCAAGTATTGTGCTCACCAGGTGGGTGAGGAAGATCTTTTCCAGGGTCTACATCAGGCAGGAAGTTAACAACACAGGTCTGAAAATGATTAGGCTTCCTGGGGTGCACGGTTTTTGGCACTGGACCCACACCAGAAAGTCTTCCAAAGGAGAGGGACCTTTTCCAGACGAAGGCTCAGATGAAACATGCGTGAATCTGTACATGTATTCGTCATTCACCCTTTAAAAAAAGACTGTACAAAGACCCCTGTATAGGAATCACTTTAATTCTTCATATCATAGATTCAAGGAGCAATTTAGGTCCATATTGGCATTATAGTATCCCACAGTTCCTGCAGATTTACTGGCTGCACATCCACGATATCCCACTCCACCACATCCCACAGTTGCTCTACTGGACTGAGATCTGGTGACTGTTGAGGCCAAAAACCAGTTTGAGATGATGGGAGCTTTGTAACATGGTGTTATCAAGCTGGAAGTAGCCATCAGAAGATGAGTACACTGTAGTTGTAAAGGGATGGAAATAGTCAGCAGTCAGCTGAAACTGTTTCTCCTCATCGAGGCATTTTGCCCCAGAGAACTGCCATTCACTGGATATTTTCTGTTTTTCAGACCACTCTCTGTAAACCCTAGAGAAGGACATATGGGAAAATCCCAGCTGATCAGCAGCTTTTGAGCAGACTGGTGTGTCTGCCATCAACAACCATGCCACGTTCAAAGTCACAGAAATCCCCTTTCTCCCCCATTCTGATGCTCAGTTTGAAATTCAGCAGGTCATCTTGATTATGTCTACATGACTGAATGCACTGGAAGTGTTGCTGCAGTCTAATTGGCTGATTAGACATTTGCATCAATGAGCAGTTGAACAGGTGTATACAAGAAAGCAGCCAGTGAATGTATACCATGTCCCAAAAAGTTGATTCTGTTAATCTGGACGTAAAGTTTTCAGTGGGTGAAACATTTCGTCATTCATCCAGTTGACTTCTTCAGTCTTAGCAACCTTATAAACAGTACATTTGCACAATGACTAAAACTAGCATCACTGGCAAACAATGGGCTGTGAGGTCAGTTTCTGGATCATTTATATGGAGATTGTCATGACCATTGACCAATGATCAGAAGATAGGTAATAATAATAATAATAATAATAACAGATTGCATTTATATAGCGCTTTTCGAGACCCTCAAAGCGCTTTACAATTCCACTATTCATTCACTCTCACATTCACACACTGGTGGAGGCAGCTACAGTTGTTGCCACAGCTGCCCTGGGGCAGACTGACAGAAGCAAGGCTGCCATATTGCGCCATCGGCCCCTCTGGCCATCACCAGTAGGCGGTAGGTGAAATATCTTGCCCAAGGACACAACGACAGAGACTGTCCGAGCCGGGGCTCGAACCGGCAACCTTCCGATTGCAAGGCGAACTGCCAACTCTTGAGCCATGATCGCCCTCAGTGTACCTACAGGTCAGGCTAGGTAGCAAGGGGGAAAAAACCATCGAAATGTGTAACACAAAAGGATAATACAGAAAAACTCCTCTGCACAGAAGCACATAAATGTCCACAGCACAATATTATGGAGCACGTGACAAGCAACTGGGGTGGGTAGGGGGTGAGGAGTAATCCCAAGCAAACACAGCAGCCATCCTGCCCTGCAGCTATTTTTCCAGCGCTGGGCCCAGACCCGTCGTGTTCTCCAGGAGGGAACAAGCATACACTATATTACTCTCTTTGTGCTGGGGGACCGGGCTCTTGGAGTGGACCAATTTTTGGCCCAGTGTTTTTTGGGGTCTGAAAGCCACAGAGATGCAGTGTTTAGAGAAAATGAGCATGTCCCGATGCTCCTGACACATAAAGCATCACTAAGGGTTTTCGCTTAGGCAGCAGTTGATCTTCTCTCTTAGATCACCTGGGGCTTTGACAAATGTCCACCTGGGATAACCACACTTACAGAGGGCCTTCTTGATATGATGTTCTTCTGCTTCTCTGGCCATTTTTTCTGTGGGGATGGTGTTCGCTGTGTGTTGAAGTGTCCTAATCACACCCAGTTTTTGCTCCAGTGGATAATGACGGTCAAGCGTTAAATACTGATCCATGTGCGTTGGTTTACTGTACACATCAACTTTTAAATGTCCCCCATTGCTGATGGAAATCTCAGTCTAAGAAGGCTAACCTTAAAAGGCTAAAAAAAAGGACAAAACCTCTAGGGTAACAATAACAACACACCGCTGCTTTCTGAGCTGAATCTGGTTGGACTTTGCTTTAGATTTCAACCAAATTTTTAAGTTCATTCAAAAGTGAAAAGTAGAAATTTAATCTTTTCAGGAATAATAATCTAACCAGCAATCCTCTGACACATAAACACCAATTTATGCTATTTATATATGTATATCGATATCTATATGTAAATTGTGTTCATCAAGGGGTTATTTCTCATTGTCTGATGTATGTTGGGTTGTCCGATCAGAATCCAGAGATGCTGCAAAGAAAGCTTTTCATCTCTCACTTTTTAACCAGAATGTAATGTACCCTGCATAATGAAACACCATCTTGCAGTCTGTGAATGCACAGGCAGTTAGCTGAAGTGTTTACCTTTGAACTTTCCACTCTCGAGCAGCGCTCCTGATTCGTCCAAAGAGAAAAACTCCTCAATAGAGACAAAGTTGTAGTCTACCCCTGAGATTTCCCCCTCTCTGGGCTGTCTGGTTGTACCTAGGAGAGAAGAAAAAAACCCAAATTATTATGTCATACATCAGCATCACAGGGCTCAATACACCATCAGTTCTGACATGGATGATGTATCAGTTAATCAAGACCCTTTCCTCTCGTCAGGGGTCATCAATCTGAGTTCAGTGTTGAAAAAAAGTTGCAAATCAGCAGGTTATAAATAGCTTAGGATTACATAAGTACATAAGTTTGACAAAATAGATGAAATATGAAACAACCCTATCGCTCTATACAAGATTAATTTTACTGGTTAATTCAGAGCAGTGTCAAAAATTGTCTAAAAAGTAGAAATGGAGAGAAACTACAACATGCATTGATAATTACAACCAGACGGACGTTTGCTGATTGCAAATCAATGCAAATTTGCACTGATGCAGCTCTGCAGCAAAATGTAACACCGCTTCTAATTCACCACTAAGTTTCGTGAAATTTGGCAGGGTGGATTTCTCTTGTTAGGAAACAAATACACAAACAACTCTAAGCCCCAACCTGTACGCTGGCTCTCTCCTTGGCAGAGAAATAACCAAGTCGGCTATTCTTTTGTTTTGTTTTTTCTTTAATAAAAGGATTTCCATGTTGTTGTAAAAGCAGCCCAAGGTGAAGCCTCCACAAACCAAAATTTACCCTTCGGCATGAAAAGCACAATGATGACAAAAGGCATTTACCAAGGCCTCTTTATTATAAACAGATCAATAAGAACCGAATTAAACATTAATGAGGCACTGAGAAAGTCTTAAAGCCGCTCTATCACCATTGTGAAGATGGAGCACTCAGATGATCAATGGTCTGTCATCATAATTGATTCACATTGACCTTGGCCTGGAAGAGAACGGTGAGTCCAAGCCATGGCAGTAAAAGCATCCTGTGTCGTTGTGGGATCACTGAGGTAACGCTCTGTGCGTGCTGTATTTTAACCCCAATGCCAAATCTCCAACCAATTAAACACAAGTACAGACATGTGGTGTGAAAAATATCACACCACACACCACAAAATTATCTTTCGCAAATCCAGTGGTGTAATTTTAATTTGCAAATTGAACACTGTGGCACCCATACTGACCTTGAAACAATTAATTCATTTCCCAAGACAAAAAAGAAAAAAGAAAAACCCAAACAAAAAAATCCCCAACCAAAGCCAAACTAAGGACAAATCTCCGTCCTTCTCCTAGAGGACCATATATGATGTCTGTGGATCCAGCAGGAGGGAGTCATACCCAGCTACCCTATAAAACCCATGATTAATGCACTGCTGTCCTGGGAGCAGCTCTCGCAGCCACAATGACACATACAGGACTTTATGCACACAAGTGCACACAAAGCCCCACAATGAGCCCTCACACACTCTGCAGCCAATTCACCCATGTAGTCACAGAGGCACCACACATTAGAGAGCATGAGGAATCTCCATCAGCCTGACCTGCTCTTTCTGAAGCATAAAATGTATCTAAAAGTAACCTATGATGCTCCTCATCATTTACTGGCACATAACTACTGTTACACTGGCAGGCTCTCATACCAAACATGGAAAATGTTAAAAATTATGAGTTCCAAGTATGTATAAGAAATCCTGGGTTTCAGACCGCTCTAAGCACTTGGCTTTAGACATATTCAAGGTTAATAATTTTAATTTGATCATCAGACATTAAAACATCAGCCCCACCCATCCATCTTCTGTTTCCAGGGGCAACCAATCAGAAGAAAGCCTGCCTTAAAGGGAGGGAGGCTTAAAGGCAGGGGAGCTAATCAAGACAAGGGATGAAATGAGAGGCTGAAGCAAAGCACAGTATCACATGAAAACTAATTTTTTTTTTAACTGTGCATGCAAAGCTGCTGTAATATAGTACAAAAACAATAATATGCAGAACAGGTCAACTGTAGCATAAAGGCTACTGGCAAACAGTCAACAGTCAGACAGTCATTGTAGCTCGTACTGAAAACATCACCTACCTCACTGCTATAGTTATTATTAAACTCAGCATAAGTCATAATTCAACTTAAGAGTTATCTTGGTAGGATGTGAGCTCAGGTTAAGCCGGAGAGAGACAAAAACAAATCAGGAGGTTTGCCCACAAAAAAACCAAAAACAACTTTTAAACAGGATTTATTTTTAAACTGCCCCACAGATGTGATAAATCTGTGTTACTGATCTTCTCTTCTGAAGCCACAATCACAAAGGACCAGAATTACCCAGAGTCAAAAGTCAAATTTCAGCCACAAATTACCTACTATACTTTGTCAGCCACTGAGGTTCCAAGATAATATTAGTCCAGTGTGAATCAGCATCACTGTGATTTGGATTTTTTTTTTTTTTACATTCCCTACACCTTTTCTTTTTCCATCTTTCCTAGAAGCTGGTTTACAAGCAGACTAGCTAGAACAGCTTGTTTCTAACTGAGGATGAGCAAAGGCAAGTATAAGATAAATATAAGGATTATTTCAAACTGTGAGCCATGCAAAGCTACTGTCATGTAGTGCAAAAATTACAAGATGGAGTTGGAAATTGGCACAATAGGTCCCCTTTAATGAACAGTATTTGCTCAAATCACTTATGCACTTCTATATCGGTTTGGTTTCATGCCTGTTGGGCTAACCTCTTTTTTTGTGTTATACTTCCACATGTTGAGTTTTCCAGTATGTGGCTTACTGTCTAGGATGGCTTGAGATGGACATTTTCTCCAGTGATGTCTGACGCTCCAGTCCCAGCTTATTAGGAAACTGTTGACCACGTTTAAAGTAGATGAGAAGGGCTGATGTGATGCATTATCTGTATCAGATCAGGGTGGGTCTTGCACCTCCGGTTTCCAAAAATGGCAACAGAAAAAAAAACAAAACCCTATTCTTAGATGCTTTTCTTTAAAAAAAATAAAAATAAAATAGCAGTTTCTTTTACTAATTAAAGATTTGATTGCAAATCTCATGATGGCATCTGACATGTCTATGATTCTTCTCCTCCCCTCAGGACACACAGCATCACTCCAGCTGATATGGTGAGAGTCACAGATTCATTATCTATGCACCCTCCTCGGAGACATATATGACATGTCAGCGGGGAGACAGGATGGATTATTGACATCTTCTTTCCCGCCTGTCCCCGTATAAGCGGCGCTCTGATCCTCGGGGGACGGGGCGAGGGAGGGATTGAAGAGGTAATTACACAGAACTCTGTATCAACACCCAGAGAGAGCTGTCTGTCAAGATCACTGCACACAAATAGCCAACAATAAATCCTGCAGTTGAAAAGGGCACAGAGAGTCTGGGTGACATGCTGGAGCAAGCATATTAGAATAACTAAATGATGATGTTTCTTATCTCCGACTCACTCAGAAGACAATTATAAAAGTCTTTTATGGAGGAGAAAGAGAAACAGCCAGCCTCGATACCGTGACATTGGTTCTGAATCATCCAAGGGCACATGTGCAAATGCGATTATAGAACTATGGATGGGAAAGTTGAAGAGGGTCATGTAAATTCTGCAAAGCTTGAATACAGAACAAAATAACGGGAATGAAAAGACAAAAAAGAACAATCTGTATAAAAGAACAGAACACAGGGTGCAGGATTGTTTATTGAGCATGTACCTGTTCTCCAAAGCTACACAGCGATCATCTTCTCTGCACACACAGGGCTATTAGACCGCAGCCGTCCCCTCCTCCACTTTGGCACTGATAGACATTTGCTTTTAATTTAATTCCACCTCAGAATTATTGATACAGTAGCCTGCATTTACTTAGTTCTGCAATTCATTTCCATTTTTATGCACTGTCCTCTTGACTGAGCCTTTGTAATGTTATTTCTTACATCAGTGCCAGCTTGAATATCAGAGAACATTGTCTCATCAAAAGGGTTTAAGGACTGAAATAGCTCATTGGTACTGAGCACAGTTTCCAGGGAAGAACTATCTACACATAAAAAAGCGAATCAAAACTGAGGTCTTCTCGTACCATCTTTGCTTCCCTACGGCAAACACGTTTTTAAAACCTGAACTGAGGCTAATTACTCATTGTATTAGAGAATTCAACGAGGTGTTGGAGGGAGCAGTAGGAGCACGCACATGATCCTGAAGGGGGCCACAATGAGCCACTGATGAAAACTCTTCAGCTTTAAGTTCCTGTTAAACACAGCTGCCTACTTGTACAAAAACAACAAAAAGGAAGAAAATTCAGCTTCTACGTATCTACAAGTGATCAAATTTGAAATGTGATCGGTTCGGAGATGCTTGTGCTGCTATAAGCATGAGATGAACAGCATCTTTGTGGTGTCATCTTCAGCAGGTCAGGGGATTGCACTTGCAGGGGCTGAGTCTGCTTTATTGTCACTCTTACTAAAATAAAGCACCTAGGGATGGGAGGTAGTTTGCCAAGTTTGGATCCTCTGGACTGTTTCAAGTGATAAATCAATATCTAATCAATATGGATGTATAGGTATACATATATGAATCCTCTGTTTTCTCAAACTAACGTGTGAAATCATTTAACAACCATTTATTGTGTATATAAAGATCCCCCCCTTATTGATACCATTCTCATTACAAAACAACTGAAAGACTTAATGTTAATTTGGGCGATTCAGTCCCTGAGCAGCTGCTTGTGTAGATGCATGGCTAAGTAATGAGGGAGTGTGGCTGAAATTGCAATTACACTGTAATGACAATAAGCATGCGGTATACTGAGAGATGCAGTTTAAACTCTTTTACACACTTCTCAACCGCTCCTTGTTCTGTCAGCGAGTGCGTCATGTGGTGCGGGGGCAGATTGTCCCACATGACCTACTTCATGGACTAAAGGGGAGATTAGCAACAAAACTCCACACTGCCACGACAAGGTTAACAATACTGACACACGAGGTGGGTTGTATATTTAACACTACCACCTGAAGAAAATAAGGGAAAAAAAGCCCCCCAGCAACAACAACAACAACAACAAAAGATATTATTAAAGAAAGCCAGGAAAATACAACAAAACACAAAGCTTCTCTGATAAAACTCTACTCAGCTGTTATATCCTCTGGCTGTTTCCAGTGACGTCATATTACAGAGGATTAAGATAGCAACAGATGCACTACAACTAGCTGCCTTTGGCTGCCATTGTGCTTGATTTTAGTCATAGGCATCAAAATGAAACGCCGTTTGCAGACCACAGGCTTGATTTTCAGGACATGATGCAAACACCAGGACAAAAGAAAAAACTTGTTAAGCATAAATAGAATTAGATATCCCACCAAACAAACGGTCAAACAGCTTATGGATGTGGATTGTAAACATGAGACTACCACTCAGGAAAAGGCTCAGTGTTGTGACAATACAAATGGTGGCTGTTACAGTTCAGTCAGCTTTACCAAAAGCTGATTTAAAATATACGTATTTCTCATATGCCAATGTTTAATATTTCATAAAAAAATAACTCCATACAAATATACACTGACACAAGAAAGTGATCAAAACAATTCTGCCGGCTCAAATGCTAATTAACACCATCGTGTTTACATGGCAGGAGCAATGAGACTGGTGTAAAAACAAAATATTACCAACTAATAAAAGAGACATGCCCTTATAAATCAGTATTTTCATTCAATTCAGTACAATTTCATTGAAATGAACTGAATTACACCTGGAGACAATACATTTGCTATTAGGGCATGCCACATGGTAGCATCAGGATGAAACTGCAGTAGACAAGATAAGATATACAAAGGCAAGATAAATACAGGAATACTGGATATAAAGATAAGAAGTGAAACCCAGGAGAGGACTTACAAGGTACAGCACGGAGGTAGAGGTTCTCTCTGATGACCTGCTGAAGTTGGCTGTCCACTGATCCGGGTGTGAAGCACTTACTCAGATACAACCTGAGGTCCTTACACAATGTGGGGCCTGAGAGAAGGGCACATAAAACAAGTTTGGCATAGAGATGAGGAAGGACAGAGATAAGGAAATAAATCAGCTCAGTAAGCATAAACAGTCGGATGATGCATGCTTAAATTTATCTAAAGCGCTAACTTTTACTCCTGACAAGCTGGATTTAACACCAGTACTTTACAGCCTGCTGATGTCTCTATGTCACTTCATAGTAGCTCCTGAGAATTAAACGTGCCTGTCCAAGTTCCTCGTGCATATACCTACAACAGCCTACTGAGGTTAATTGTTCCAGACACAACGGTAGACGCTGTCACCAGAGGAGGCAGAGCCGCTCAACACAGCGGGGCTTTGTTTCCTCTCTGATCTCTTAATATCGTCTCGCGTGCTTTACGGCCTTTGATGGCAGGCCGCGTGCTGTTATGGATGGACTGAGCGTGTCTCCTGTTTGTCACTCTGACAGACGACCATTCTGTCAGTGCCTCCCCTGAAGGCTGTCGCCGAGCCATCCACACTCCTGTCACCCCCTATCCATGCTGGCTGTTACAGTGGTTCTGCCCAGGAGCAGGCAGAATTTACAGAGGGCTATTTAAAAAAAAAGGATCAGTGATATAACTTTATTAGTGGAGGCAGCATGTACATATGACTGGTCACATATGGCTGCTGTCTGTAAAGGGAAATGAATCTAGCCTGCCGCCCTTTGGGAGAAATGGCGGCTTTGTTCGTGATGTTACGAAACAGCTGCTATTTTCTAGTCTGCTGAAGAGCAAAATTCAAATCTGAACTGAATGAACTGACAATGTTTAAGCATATGTCTGAAGCCAGGAATAACAGCAATGCAAAGAAGATTTTCTGGAGCTTTGCTGTCATCAAAACCAGAGAATGAAATTTTAAAGTTGGGTATTTTTGATTTGTGTGGCATCACTGCTCTTTTTTTCCTCTCTGCAGCATTAATGCTTGCTTCCTCTCGGGACTGTAGCCTGATGTCAGTATTCCGAAGCAGGAGCAGAGGGAGTTGTAGTAGTAGGAGTAGCAGAGGAGGTGTGGTACAGAAACCCAAAGCATCAGATCATCCATCACTGTCCACACCACATGCAGTCAAGCTGCACAGAGAGGACCAGGCAGACTTCAGAAATGATAATGGATCTACCGGTAGCAGAGCGACCAGGAGCAAAGGTCCCCATTTACGCCCCTGTGGCCAAATCGGCCATCAATCTAGCGAGCAAGGCCATCGGGAGGTGCAGTCAGGTGACACTTTGGTGACATATCGTTCTGTCCGCAGCCGACAAAGACATCCGTTCCCCCAGCCCCCTGTTCTAAACATCAAGGCCCCACTACGAGTGACAGGCAACTCGATTGCCACACTCTTGTCATGCGTCATCAAACATTTTGAACTCCTACCCACATGTTAACCAGTCCTCTCGACATAATTGACAAGCACAAATCAGCAGAGCAGAACACTACAGACCGACGATTTGGAGTGTGAGAGCTCGGGGGAGGGAGGCTGTTATTGTGCAGGAATATCATGGATGACAGCTTGGAAGCAAGTGTAGCAGATTGTTTGGGTGTAGACAGATGAAACAAGTGCAATGGCGTGCAAGATAAACAGTGATAAGTCACTGTAAACTGTCTACAGTAAGAGTGTGGGAATTTCAGATTAAGAATTAAGATATGTGAAGGGCCTTACCTGAAACAAAGCAGACCTGTGTTCACACATTTCATCGCCTTTGTGCCCATAATTTGCTCATCTATTTAAATGAGTTGCAGACTAATGTGTTGGCTGTTTTGGGTGCTGAGTCATACCTGGTGACACAGTTTTGATGCGGATAGGATGGGGGCAAGAGTTGAGGATACCACGGACATCTCCTAATGTCATCCCTAAAACTGGTGTTCCCCCAATCTCTAGGATGATGTCACCCACAGTGAGGCCACCACCCGGGGCTGACGTGACAAAGGGAAACTCTCCATAATCTGCTCCTCCCCCGATGGCGATCCCCAGCTCACCCGACGAACCTTGCAGAGGTACAAAGCTGTCTAGCACCTTTGAACGCCAGTGCAGCTTCTTCACCGCCGACTTAGACATGGCAAATGAACTGTTGAGAAAAGGAAACGGGTGTTTAGAGAGCGAGCAGAAGGCGTCAGACAATAAAAAAAGGAGGGGAAAAAGTGTCGGTTACATAACAAGGAAGAGAAAGAACCTGTGACTTCATGTTATTTAACCTTTGTCAGTTTGCAGATGCCCAATGCCTGTGGAGTTGCTGCGTTTCACATCAGAGAGTCATGAATAATTCTAGCGTCACAGGTTAGGATGGCAGCTTAAAAGTCAAGAACAAGACAACATGGAAAATGTGTCTGTTTTATGCAAACATACAACAACACAACAGCCAAATGACTGTCCAGCCAAAAGACTGAGAGAAACTTTCCCTCATGCTCACTGTGCTCTTGGCTGACGTTTTATTTATGTGTAAACAAGCAGCACGGCCATGAGTGCACAGCCACAGTCACATGGGAAAATCGAGTGTGAGTTTGATGGAGGTATGAGAATCCATTTTCACATACTTGTCTTTATCCATACGTTTTCTAGATCATCAATAACCACGCCATTTATTTTCCCATGGATAGATTCTCCTACGCTCTGCTAGGGTGATGTTTTGTCCACTAATGGCAGCTGCTTACGGTAAAGAAGAGAAATAATAAGGCAAAGCTGTACTGAAATACAGTTTTGGGTTGTTGTTTTTTTGTTAAAACACATTTCCTGGAGAGCAGCTGTGTGTTGGGGTGGGGTGGGAGGGTGCAGGAGGATGTAGCTGGCACGGTGAAGATTTGTTTGAGTCGTCCCTGATGTGACAGCTGCACTGCCAGAGAACAGACAATGTTCCTCTGACATTATCAGAGCAGCATTGTCACCTTAACACACGGTAAGACGGAGCCACACAAGGCACTATATCACAATCAAAAAGACAAACACAATGTGTGGACTAAAAGCTTTAGAAGTCAGGCAGGCAGATTTAATTTCCTTTGGGCAGCGTTTGGCGGGCTTTTGCCCTCAGTTTCCAGTCTTTATGCTAAGTTAAGCTACCTACCCCCCGGCTCAGGCTTCATAATTACCATAGCAACATGATGGTGATATCAATCTTCTCATCAAACACAATTAAGCATATTTCTTACTTACTTTGGAACACCTCCACTAAGTCAATTTTGCTTAAATACAATATCCCAAATGGATACTACTGATTTCCCCTTCCAGTGTGGCCAGGAAATAAGCCATTACACTTCACTTCACCAAGATGCAATCCTCTTAAAAGGCTGTGGTGACCCCTGGCTAGGCAGGGTTAACATGCACAGCACCAGACCCAGAGCTAGTAGGGAGGCCCTAGGGTCCTCTGACCCAACAGACCTAATAAGTCTGCTTCAAAGAGTGAGAGAAGGACAGGATATTTCTAATCCTTTCCAGCTGACTGGCAAATCGACTTGCAGATCTGACAGAGATCCTTTTCCATCCTCTGCTGCTGCTCAGTTAAAGAAGGGAGGTCCCTGGTGTGTGTGTGTGTTTTTATAAGATTGAATTATAAAAAACAGAACCATGAAACCCAGAAATACAGATGGGTTGTTTGTGTTTTTGCAGTGCACTCAGTGAGTAACAGGAGAGGAGAGAAAAAGGGAAAAGCAGAGGTCAGATGGAGATCGAGAGGCGCCACCCTGCCTGAGGGTTGGCGTAGGACTCACTTATTTGACCTTGCAGGACTTCAGCTCAGGCGACATGAGTCAAAACTAGAGAAATAGTTGAACCCCAAAACACACATTTCTTTCTAGAACAACAGCCTGTCACTGTTGTTCAAGCACACTTGAATTAAACACAATCAAACAAGTAGCGTTGTTTACGCCGGCATATTTCAGCCTGAAATTATGCTTATCGCTTCAGTCTTGCCAAACAGTGCCCCCAGTCCCTCTCTCTACCCCACTGTGAAACCTTCTGCAGCTACACTGTCGACCTGCTTCTCCGAAGTCAGCCAGCCATCCGCCCACACAGAAAACACAGCAATACAGCGTGCATTAAGGGTGGCGTGAGGCCAGAATACAAACAAAAGCAACTTTTTCCATTTAATCATATTGTACACAACATCTGCATCGTCCCTGAATAATAAGTCTATAAGCCGTTGGTCTTTTCATGATTTATCTAAAGATTTCTGGGAACGTCTCAACAGTAAAGATTAAAAAGCTTAAAATAAAACCACTCATAGGTATAAAGCAGTATTCTGTTGGAACTACACAGTCGCATTGTGTTTCTGCCTAACGTGTGTTGCCTGAGATGTAGTTGTTGTCTTGACCTCCTGCGTCTGATGGGGGTTTAATGAGCCACAGCCTGTCAGGTTGCTGAAGCCTGACTCGTCCTGCTGCAGACACACACTCTGACACTCTCTCTCTCTCCCTGCTGTTGGTGTTGACACTACAAACTGGCCCTGCACGCTCATCTTACCATGTTCATTAAAAACACATTGTCATCAAGGCTGGGGAGGAGCAAGGGCTACTGACTCTACGCAGTGATCTTATCATGTTAGATTTAATAGATTACTAAGAAATCATTTGTTTGCATTTAATATAATTTTGAATATGATGATCTTACCTGTATCGGACCATATCTGTATAAATCAGTTACTCCACATAGCTGAAAATTAAGCAAATACAGGAGTGGCATGAATTGCAATTCCTTGAATGGCAAGTTTTTAAAAACTGAAAGAGGAAGAAAGAACCAATCTACATGGACTTCCATGTTAAAACAAGCTACACAGCAGAAATTTCATTTAGTCTCCATAGCTAATTTTCCACCTTTATGTCAACTGTAATGACTGATTTCTTGTGTGAAATCAGTGTGAAAGTCTTTTAAACCTGGATTATCTCTGATGACCACTAGTTGCACAAAGAAGTCTGCATGCATAGACTCCTATGGAAAATTGCCCTCAGCCCAGTAATCACTTTCCTAATGAGTTTGGCATAGTACGCTATGATGCTCATCTTGATGGATTTGATTGGCAAGTGACTACTATATGAGCATGCGCTGGCAAAATAGGACTTTACAAACCAATAGATGTTATCAATGCAACTTCGTCCATGTTTTAAATAGTCTGCAGTGCCACCTCAGCAACATCCAGGAAGCTGTTTCTTCAGTTTTAGTGTGTTAAATTCTAGCAGTTTACATGTATGTTGTTTAGCATTAATTAACAGATAGCAGTTGCCAAGCATTAACCAGTAACTTAGTATTCCACTTTCTGATTCACATATATTTATTTTTGGTTCCAAAAATCCAAGATGGCAATGGCCATAATGCTACAAAATAGGCTTCAAAAGGAGAACATAACCCAAAAGGTGATATTGCCTTTAGCCTATTGTATGAAAACATGAATGAATTTTCTGAAATACTAATTAGATTTTGTGTCATATGAAATTTCCTTTGATCAAAATCGCAATACGTGACTGCTTGAACTGATTATGAGATGAAAATGATGAGCTCTTAATCATCCTCTCATGCTGATTCAAAGCAAACCTAAAAATATGCAGCTATGCTAGAAGCAATGCGACTGTGTTTTAAGCTAAAGTCAGCCACATGTTCCCAATAAGCATGGCAACATGCTGAGAGATAACAGCTGTAGTTTCTACCTTGTTCTTGATCTTATCAACCATCTAATCAAATAAAGAGCAGTAAAAGGGATCCCAGCAGTTTTGCAAGGATTTGGGCCCAAACCATAAACACAGGACTAATTGAAATATTAAATTATTAAATATTAGTTTTAAGATGTCGACAAATAAAAAGTGAATCACTAAAGTCTAAGGAGCTTGGAAAGAGAGTGACTGGACTTCATTAAGTTGCTTGAACGAAACTTAAAGAAGTCCAGCCGTTTTCTTTCCAAGCTCCTTAGACTACCATGAGCTGGATGACTGAGAACCTGCACAGGCATGTCAGACATGTATCACTAAAGTTGTAAGACTAATGAAGCTGATCCTGTGGAAACATAAATCTGTGTACTTAATGCCAAATCAATCAAGAGGTACACTATAAGGAAACAGGAACCAAGTTACCTTCACGTTACACCTACTGGAGCTGCTTGAACATAGAAACCTATGTTATGAAGCACCCAGTGCGCAGTTTTTGTGCTGATGTTAATGTTAGAAAAAGCTTGGAATTCTATGACGTCAAAGCTCTGCAACTTCAAGACTCACGCTTCGACTTTGCAATAACACCACTTAGTAACTCATTGACTATCTATGAGGAAAGAAATTTCACAAATTGGTTGCAGCGGCGACATTCTTTAAAATAATCAGTGACAAAATTTTGTGAAGGCAGACTGCATGGCTAGGTGTTTGATTTTGATTTATACTTGATTTTATACATTTTATTTTTATACAATGGATCTAAAAACACCTGAATTAAAAGATAAAAAGGTGTGGTCCAATGCTTTTGTCAATATAGTATCTTTCCACTATGAAACACATTAAATAGTGACATGGAAGACAGTAGGATTCATCCACTGGGGGCTGTAATTGCCTGTACATAATTTAATAGCAATTCATTACACAGTTATGAGCTTAATATGGACCAAAGTAATTGCCCCACTAGCACTGCTATAAGTAATTCTGAGAGCATGAATTACATAGACTGAACAATATGCAGGGTCACGGATATCTAAGCCTATAAAAAGAATGCTCTATAGAGATTCCTGACCTTTAGGTCAGAAAAGAGCTGACCAATACATATCCTGTTTCACTGACTTCCTCTGCACCAGTGAGGATCTCTATAGTTTGCAACCTCTGCCTTTCAGTGTAATTTCAACCCCCACAGTGATCTGTCAGGGGCAAAACACACAACTCCTTGATTTAGTCTATTCTTAGTGCCCATTTTGTTCCTCATCATATCTGTTTATTCAGAAACTACAGTGCATGTGCTACAGGCTACGAGTCAGTGTATAACACAAACAGCTGTGCCTCACAGATTTCTGTATGAAAATGTCTTTTTGCCCTGAACTACATGAGCACTCATTATCCACAGAACATTTGTCGTTCTTAGCTAATTAACCACAATAGTTATTTTTCCAATAAAAGAAAGTGAAAGTGCACTTTAAGTCTCAACACAATATAATAACACCCTCTGAAACAGCAGTGCAAAAAGCTGCATTTATAGGTAACAAAATCCTTTACAGTGATTAGTCTAAAAGGCCATTTTACCCCTGGCAGTTCATAGTCATGATCAGAATATTTTTATTACACGACAAATTAACTTAGCGGTTATTTCAGGTTGGATCTCGAGGGTGTTAATTTATTAAAGTTACAGAGATGAGTTTTGCCACGGAGCTCAATAATTCAAAGTCAACTTGAAGCAACGAAGCAAGGACAAGAGGGAATAGCACTTGACATTGGGCCGGACGATGTCTTGAAAGACCTCCAAGAAGAAAAAAAACCCACAGGTGTAAGCAAAACACATCAGTTAAGACGGGTGAATAATTGAATTGCTCGGTAAAAAGTGTCTCTGGTGAGGCCAGCAAAACAAGAACATCTTGTCGTGACAGATTTATCCAGCAGGGCGAAGCCAGGGTGCACAGACTTCCATTCAAAACAGCACTTAAAACAGTTTTATTGACCATACAGCTGTTAGCAATGAATTTAACCTTCATTTTGGCACCTCAACACCTATTCTCAAAGTCTGCCTGTATCGATAATAGAGGTCCAGCTTTATGGGGAAAGCAGCGACTGTCAGCTCTCGTGATTCTCCACATGTTCCTGATGTCCATCTAGATGCCGGCCCTCATCCCCATCAAAGCCGTCTCTCAGCTTGTAGATCACTCTCTGACATAATCAGCTTTGACAAAAGCAGAGTTTGTTCAACTTCTTCCAAAGATGAGAAACTTTTAACGCAATCAGCGTTTTGCCTCTGAGTTGTTGCTCTAATCAAACGCCGCTCTCCCCAGTTTAATCATCTCATTTTAAATCTTCACGTCATTAATTGTTGTCCTGCTGCTTCACGAAGCAGCAGAACTAGTGTGTGCTCATAAAAGCTTCTTGGTTGCTTTGACTTGGTGGAGTCACGCTTGCTCTGCTGTCCACATTTTGTTGCAGCTCTAAATGGAGCCTCCGGTAATGAAATTAGCCTGGGCAATTAGCTCAGCTACGATGCTCTTTGAATTTATGTAAGCTTATTTTGTATTTCATGCATGCTCGCTGAAATGCAAGGCGACGAACAGTTGTCTTTCCTAAATGTAAATTCTGGTGGATATTGATGAACTGACTTTGTGTTTTGTCAGCTAGAATGTGACCAGCATGCCTAAGCGCTCCATTTGTTGGTCTCTCTGCAAATGCTGGCAATGAATAAACAGAACAAAACAACAAAACAATAAGAGAGGGTTTGTTTGTTTTTATACAACGCTGCATAAGCCAGTCAGCATGACTGTGCATTACATAATAATTACTGACCAACAACACTATTGCTCCACATCAAACCTTTGAAACGGCTATAATAAATGTCCACTGACATTCATGACACTGCGTGACACTGAAGCAGAAACAGTGTTTTTGCTATTGCTGATTAGATCATCCAGAGAAGGTACGGTAAACAGATGACAAAGGAACAAAGTCAAATAATTTTTGATCCTTGTTTCATAAGTGTTAGGATTTCCTGCTAATTTATTTCTCATGACTTTAAATTGCATGAAGTGTTACATTAATTATTTTCATAATCATTTAATCTCCTGCTTATTTTTCCAAATATTGCATCAACTTCTAAATCTGTAAAATGTAAAAACAACAACAAAGGCCCAGCATGATGTCTTTAAAAGGCCTAAACCAAAAGACATTTCAGTCAGATGGCAGCTCTAGTTAGTGTTCAACATCAAAGCTCCAAGCTCAGCACTTCATAATACACTCACTGCCACTTTATTAGGTATACTTGTAGTATCAAATGAATGAATTAGCTAATAACAAGGCATCAACTGAGTGCACTTAGGCAGACCTAATAATGTTATGAAGTTCAAACTGAGCATCAGAGTGAGGAAGATTTAAAGGACTTAAAAGTGGTGTGGTCGTTGCCAGCTGTTCTAGGTATTTCAGCAATTGCGGATCTACTGGGATTTTTTCCACACATCAATTTCTGGGATTTTTAAAAAAGTAAGCAGCAGTTCTGTGAGTGAAAATGCCTTGTTTATGTCAGAGGTTAGAGGACAATGGCCAGACTACCTCAAGCTGATAGGCAACAGTAACCACTCAGTAAAGCCAAGGTATGCAGAAGACATCGCTGAACACACGTCAAATTGTGAAGCAGATGGGCTAAAGGGGCACTAGACCACATCAGGTGCAACTCCTGCACTGTGGAAACTAAGACTACAGTTCATATGGGCTCACAGAAAATTGTACAAAAAAAGATTGGGCAAATGTTGCCAGATCTGATGAGCCTCACTTTATGGTGTGACATTCAGATGATGGGGTAAAGATTTGTTATAAATAGCATAAAAGCATCCTGATTTCTATCAGTTTTTCAGGATTTTGGTTGTAGAATATTGTAGGAGATTATTTTTTGGCACACTCTGGGCCCTTAGTACCAGTTGAGCAACATTTAAATGCCACAGCCCACCTGAGTACTAATACTGGACATGTTCATCCCTTTATGGAGAAAGTGCCTTCTGACAGCTGTGTCCAGTAGGATAACAAGTCACGTGTCACAAATCTCAGATGATCTAAAACTGATTTCTTGAACATGACAATGAGTCCCCTTTACTCAAATGGCGTCCACAGTCACCAGATCTCAATCCAATAGACCACCTTTGGGATGTGGTGAAACGGGAGATTACAGTATAATCATGGATGTGCAGCTGGCAACTGTGTGATGCTATCATGTCAATAAGAGCCAAAATCTCTGAGGAACATTTCCAGCATTCCTCATCCTGGAGACTACAGGTTAGAGAGTTAATTAGCAGGTTAAAAGGAAACGGTTATCAGAACACAGCCATGATTGTCCATGTGTTTTAGATTTATTTTACTTTATATCTAAAGTATTTTAACTAAACGAGTGATTGAGACACATTGACTGATTCGTTCTGATGAGATAAAATAAGGTTACACTAAATGACAGACTTAAAAATATACACATTCTACTCAGAAGAACAAAATTAACTCACCTAAGCTGCCGTCACATATGGGAGTGAAAAGAGTGAGTGCAGACCTTATATAATGTGAGCAGGTGAATTCAGTTGAGCAACAAAGGAACACGGGAGCCAATCAGTAGTGAGGAAACCAGGACAGGAAGTGAGGTAAGGGAGGTGAGGAGTGGATGAGTGAGGAAAAGAACAAATGAAGTAAGACTCTTTGCTACAGGTGGATTCTGGAGTCAAAACAGTAACACTGACATGTTAAAGGAAGACGTGTAACATTTGTAGCTATGCATTACTACTCTATACAAAAAGGTGACATATAAAACCCAATATAATGTGTGAGGTATGAGGTATTTGGCCTCCAAGCAGCACCAGAACAGCTTCAGAACTCCCTCGACTGATTCTTCAGGAGATGTAAATGAAAGTATTTGTGAATCATTCTTCCAAAAAATATTTCCTCATTGGTGTTTTGATGGTGGTGGCGGAGGGACACATTAGTTCAAAATTTTCCACAGGTGTTCACTCGGGTTAAGATCTGGTGACAGCGAAGGCCATAGCATTGATTGATCCACATCATTTTCATAATCATTAAGTCCCTCAGTGACCCCTTGTGCCTTTTTATGGATATATATTGATTTGTACTGGCCCTTCCACTAGACGTACATGTGAACCCAAA